TGGAAACGTAATAAAACTGAGGGAACACTTTTTCATCTTTGGTGGACATGAAATAAAGCCAAAAAATATTGGGAACAGGTATGTATTTTGATGCATAAGATTTTTAAAGATAAATGTACAACTGAAACTAGTGGCTGTGCAAAATCAGATGAAATATTGTGATCTGGTAGGATTTTGGCCAGGATACTGGGTGGTAAACGGTTGCCAATCCCTGCTTTAGTGTAAAATAATGGCTGTGTTCACACTACAAGCTAATGTTAGTTAGATTTATCCTTTGCTGGGTGGTCTGCCATGTTGAATAGTTCCAGTATATGTTCAGCATTCTATATGAATAAAAAATGGGCTAGACTGTGTACACTTTGAAAAATGACTAAAAAGAAGTGCCTTGGATCTTGCACAAGATTTCCAAAAGATCACTAAAGATGCTGCTGCTTTAAAAGTCCTATTAGCTTTAAGGAGTAGTTTCCTTAAAGCAGCAACAACTCTCTTCCAGGTTCACAGAGAAGTGGGGCTGAAAATTTGGGAAAATGTGGAATTACTTTAATGAGTGAGAGAGAATATTTTTTTCCCCCTGAATAATTCTGCCAACATGCTCAGCTCCTCATATGGCTTAATTCATTAACGCTATTAAAGTGTCTTGCATGGAACCAGTCCCATATGTAATTTTGATGTTCTAATTTTGCAACGTATTTGCTAATTTATAGTTTAGCACAGTATATCAAAACAGGAGACTTATTGAAAAATATTTAGTCTATTATCCGTGTAAGAAAAAAATAATGTATTATTCTGAAAGGGATTCCAGCCCCCCCCCCCTTTAACATATATGACATACTGTAGAATTGGGTCCTCAGACATTGCAGTACCATGACCCCAAGGTCATTAATGAATTTACATGATCTGCAACCCCAGGTGTATCCGACCTAAGAAAAGTGGCAGGGTTAAGTTCAGGAAAGCAAAATGAGGAACAAAGCCCAGAGTAAATTTTGAGGGCCTTCTAATTTTTCCTGTGCTACTCTGGACAAGGTTAAAAAGAAATTGTGATCCCTGTCTAGGTTGCTGACAACTTCCTGGGGGGTCCTAAGCTCCATATGAGATCCATGGCAGTGAGTTTAAATGATTCTTAGTACGGGGCCATATAAAATGATGAATACTCATAATTTAGCAAGTCAGGATTTCACTGGATGATCATCCTATCACCAATTTCACTCCTTATTTGAGAAAGGTTTCTGTCAGCTTTATTTTTGGCTTCTATTTCATTGTTAAGTGAAGCTGAATATCAGTAGATAATTTATGCTTCCAGGAGTAAGCCATGCATTTTACCGCATTTTCTGCTTACAGTACAGAGTACAGGAAACCATGGGGTTACTTATGTCTGTATATGGTAGCAAGATGTCATAAAAGAAGTGATGTGCACAGAATGCTGGGGGGCAAAAATTCTTGGCTGCTGTGTCTCTACTTGCTTTTTTCTCAGCTGTTCAGGGAAGCCAAGAACAAAGAAAGCAAAATATAGGTTGAAGAACATATCCAATTGCCTGAGACAAGGGCCAAATGTATTGCAAAAATTGCTTTGCCTATTCGGAGAAGAATAGTTCAAAACCAGAAAAGCATTTGACTCAACTGAAGAAGTGCAAGCAGCAGTAGAATAAGAAAGACTACATAAGCACCACATTCTGCTGGATATATCAGAGGTATTTTGCTTACATTATATAATTTGGTAAAGACTCCTAATTTCCAATACTGCTTAAGCCTGATGTTTAAGTACAATGCAGATGACTACTGGGTCCCTCAGGTATGGGAAGCTGTGGAGGCTCTATTTGGCAAGGGTTATCGGAGCAAAAGATTGTGTAGCGATTGAATTTGGGAAGAATGCTGCCAAGATACAAGTCTTTACAGAATAACAGAGTTGGAAGAGACCTTGGAGGTCTTCTAATCCAATCCATTCCAGGCAAGCGGTTGTGCAGTCTCTTCTTAAAAGCCTCCAGTGATGGAGCACCCACAACTTCTGGAGGCAAGCAATTCCACTGTTCTCGCTGTAAGGGAATTTCTCCTTAGGCCCTAAGTTGTGATGTTGGTGAAGTCAGTGATGGGGTGGGAAAAAGCATCCTTTAAACAGCTTTTAATGCATGCCCATCCAAAGCAAATCTAAAAATCTAAATCTATCTTTATTAAAGTTTTAAAGAAGTAAGATAAAAACTAACTGTGACTAATAAAGTAAAAAAAAAAAAAAGGGGGGGGGGAGGAAAAAGCCAAAGCCAAAAGTGCAGAAAAAAGAGAAAAAAATATATAAAGAAGTGATTTCCGATTTTCTTTTGCATTTTTTTTCTAAATAATAAAAAATGTAAATTAAAATCTTACTCAATGATCACAGCATTACTTACATTTTTTCTATAAACTATTTTTTCTAACCTTCAAAACTGTATATCATAATTACATTTTTTTCTTTTCATGCAAAAAATCAATAGGATACTTTTAGTCAGTATTAAACTTAGACGACCTCTTTTCTCTAATTAAGGCTGTCCATTTGACCATCTCAGCATATTCCATCATTTTCGCCATCCACTCCTCCACTGTGGGTAAACTCAATATTTCCACCTTTGTGCATATAATAATCGTGCTGCAGTTATCATATATGGGTAATCGTCGACTTACAACCAAATGTTACCAAATGAGTTTTGCTACATTTTACAACGCATTCTTGCCAGAGTTGTTAAGTGAATCATTGCAGGCGTTAAATTAATAACACGGTTGTTAAGTGAATCTGGTTTCTCCATTGACTTGACTTGTCAGAAGGTTACAAAAGCTGGTCACGTGACCCCAGAACACTGCAACTGTCGTAAATATGGAGCAGTTACAAGCATCTGAATTTTGATCACGTGACCATGGGGATGCTGCAACAGTTGCAAGTTTGAAAAAGGGCCATAAGTCACTTTTTTTCAGTGCTGTTGCAACTTTGAATGGTCACTAAATGAACTGTTGAGGACTATGTCAAAATAAAATTCCATGGTTTATTTTCAACTGTTTATCCATCAGTTGCAAAAGAAAAATATCTGATTTCATGTGTGTATTAATCTTGAACATCTTCTGCATTAATACATGTAATTGATTCCTCTAGGAAGCATTCAAAATGAAAGCAGCATTAATTCTACAATATAAACCACAATATCCGAGGTTTAAACAATAATCCCATATTTTTTTTTAAAAAAAAAACCAATTTGACATAGCATTTACCTAAACAGAGTTCCTTTTGTTTAGTGCCAAGTCCTAAAATAGTCCTAAAATAGCATATTTGATTATTTTCCTATATATAATAATACAGTGTTTTATTGTTGATTTAATCCTTGTCAAGGCTATAAATCAGAGTTCTTCAGCTTTACAAATATTGTAGTATATATATGCTAATTCCATTTCAGGAAGGTGAAGTTTATAAACTTCAGCTTATATAGACTTACATAGTGTTGAGCTTTTTATCTTGGAAGGAGATAAACAGCATTCTTTAGCACATTTATTTTCAAATGTACATAGGATGATTTTCTATCAACACAAACCCCCAATTTAATAGTAGTGCTATGATGGGAAATAGTATCCAACTCACTGTTGCAAAGATCAGTATGTGTTGGGGGAGAGGGTAAATCTTAATATCAACCTGCATAGGACTGTATTACTATTATCCTTCTCATCTTTCCCATTATCTTCTCCTATTGGTATCTTATGATTATATCATTTTGTTATTTATACGTACTGTACACTGAGAGCATATGCACCGGAGACAAATTCCTTGTGTGTCCAATCACACTTGGCCAATAGAATATTCAATATTCAATTCAATTCTATCTCCTAGATCCTGCTATCAGATTAAAACACAGCGAGCCTTGTTTCTGTATTAATCTATACATTTGTTATGTGCAATGGTCTATGTCTATGAGAACACATATAAAGTAAGAAACAGGCTTGGATGAAGTTAAACTAAGTCCTCCCTGTTCATGCCCTCCTAGGGCCAGCCTAGCTCTCATTTCTCAGCTATCATGTGGGGTCTTCTTAGGGCAGTGCCATCTAGATCCATGGATATTCAAGGTTGCACTGTTGGAAACAATTCTGGAAGACAGTTTTCAATAAAGGAGAATATTTGTAACTCAGAGTTGAAATGAGGGGTCTTTGGTGCTTGTTTTCTTGCAGATGTTTCATTACCCAAATTAGGTAACATCATCAGTGCTAGTAAGGAGTGGAATTTGCTGTCAGTTTATATTCTAGTGGCTTGCCCTGTCAGTGTTGGTGGTGCTGGTGTTAGAGATTCTTTGATTGGGCTGTTGGCTTCATTGGCAATTTCTTGATTTGGGTATTGTTTACTTGATTATTGGTCTGAAGTTAATCTTGGAGTTATAATCTATGTTGATCTGGGTGCTGACAGCTGGTGGAGAGGTGCTTGGGTGTTTTTGTTCCCTTTTGGGCTAATTGATTGTCTCTTTTGCATAGTCTATAAATGTTGTTAATGTCTTTGTGTCTATTGATGGCTGATATGTCAGAGTGCCAGGCTTCTAGGAATTCCCTGGTGGTTTTGGACTTGGCTTGGTTTAGAATGGTCACATTTTCCCATTTGAAACTATGGTTAAGTCTGTCTATATACTGTATGTTGTGAAATTAAAGAATTTTTATCATATCTTCTGACTGCTAATTGGAGTTTATGGATGTGTTCTGCCAGTCTTCTGCCTGTTTGTCATACATAGTGGTTGTTGCAGTCCTTATATTGTGTGTTGTAGGTGACTCCTGTTTTTTCATCTGGAGTTGCTGGGTCTTTTGGTTTACTTAGGATGTTTTGAAGGGCTTTAGTTGGTTTTATCAATTTTCATCCCATAATACTAGGATACCTTGATGCTTATGAATGTTTATTAGTTTGATTCCTCTCTTTATTCCTCTCTATGTCCAGCATTAAAGATCCCTCCAGAAGATGCTGCAGCTACTCGTTGCCCCATGAATAACTGCATGGAAAAAAGCACAGCCTTAAGATGAATATCAATTTCCGACAACAGCCTGAGCTTCATATGAACAAAGGAAATGCCAGGCAAAGGTCAAATGAGCCCGTGCAAAGAGCAGGAACTTATTTTGTTTGTAGACACTCTCCACATCCCAAAAATGTATGTCACATTAAAGGTAAGGCTCCTTTGTGCCCCACATCCCATGTGGCTAATTAATATCACAATTCCATTCTCATTTATGGTTTCTTGAATAGAAACATTGTCTGAGTTTATTTGTCATTTTATATGGCCGCCAATCTCACAATAAGGTGACTGTGTGGCATACAACAAGATGGTAAAAAAGTGACTATATAAGAGAAAATTATTTTTTTAAAAATAAAAACTCACAAGCCTAAGAAAGCACAGCATATGCTAATAACAATGGAGCTTCATATTGTATTAAACTATGGTTTGTTTTAAGCATGGTTTTTTTGTATTAACTGTTCTGGGATCATCTGTACTCCAAACCATAAGCTATGATTTACAAATCATAATGTGTAAGTTTATATAATTGGCTTTGATCCCTAAATTGAGAAATATTTGATATCTCAGGTTCATTAGCAATAAGTAACTAATAAGCTCTGGAATGAAAATTAAGTTGTTTGGAGAAAATTATGACTACCAGAAAAGATGTTATATGTGGCTGTTATAAGTAGTATAGTATTTTTTATAATATATGAAATGTGAAAATATTGGGATGGTGTATGTGAATGAAAAGTTTGGATATTTAAAGGTAATCAATTTTGAGAAAATTATGAGTGATAAAAATAGTTTGAATACTGAGGGGAAATTAAACTTAAATAAGAATTTTGAAATCAGTACACATAGTGACTTAATAAAATGACTTTTACAAATATAATTGAAACATAAGCTGACCAGAAAAGATGTTATATATGGATATTATTGTTATTTGTACAAACACAAAAAATGTTTATATCCAACCTTAAATGTATCAAAAATATTAAGAATTATATTTGTTTAATGTTGACAAAGGAGAATACTATTAGAAGTATATTATTGGCAGAAGAGAAGATCAAGGAAATATATTAATACATTGATTATGGAATTATGGGAATTAATCACTACTGATTGTTTTTAAATATATGAACCCAGACAACACATTGTTTACTAAGCACTAAAGATTGTTATCGTAAAAAACCAATAAAATATATTTTAAAAAACCAATATGAATTGAAAATAGTCTTTACTGTAACTATAGATTTGCAAAACAGGGTGCAACTTTCCAAATTTGTCTTCCTATATCTCTCAGAGGCATTGTTAGAAAATGAAAATGGATAATAGCTCTTTTGCCTTGTTTTTCTGTAGCTTTTATTTGTAGGGTTTTGTTGTTGTTGTTGTTATTGTTTTTCTCCAGGAAAATGGTAGTCAAGTTAGAACAGTAAAATGATGTTGGCAGAGGCAGGAAGAGATGGCGGGGGGGGGGGGCAACCTCATTAGTTTGCATTCTAGTAATTTAATGTTTGCATCATGACTATTAAGCATCTGTGAAGGGTCTAGGAAAAATTGCTATGGGCAACTTGCCACAAGACAATTATATTAATATCAAAGAAATGGTGGAATAGAATCATTAAAGAAAGGATACAAAAAGGACAAAATGAAATGTGAATGACAAAAAAATAAAATATTTTTAAAATTATTTTAAATAATTAATTGTCCTGAATTGTCCTGCAGTGAGTTGACTGTGGTGAGTTGGTCCATTCCGTCCATGACACCATGAAAGCAACCACAGCATATTCTTAAACTTCCTAATATACTCAATGGTCCCAAAAGATTGCCTGTTCATTATGCCAAATTCAGTTATGCACCTGAGAAAATATTAAAGGCTCATTTTCTTACTCAGGATTAAATGACGTGCCTGTCTGCTTTGTACGAGACCGAGGATACAATGAAGGACATTTCACCATGCCAGGCCCAGCATATAGCCAGCCTTACAGGCCTGTTGGAACTCCAGCAGATAAGATTTTTCCCAATAATGCTTTGCCAAGCCTGATACCAGAGGGAGTCGTAGCAAATCTTCCACGTAAGTAATGTGCATGACTGCAAAGTTATTGAGCTTTGAATCCTTCTGTACAAGATTAAAATTGAGTTTTTCCTATTTCATCTTGCATTTTGACACACTTTCAGTAGAAATGAAGGGCTGAAGAGTACCTAGATAAGGACTAGTTGGAATGAGATCTCTGGCACTCCTTGATGATCTGGTAACTGGAGATCCGAAGGATGTAAGAGACATAGAAGCAACTAAAAGGCCAACTTGAGATGCAGCTTAAAAACAGGAGCTGCCTACCACCTTTTACTTTGTGTTTCAACCAGTTTCTGTTGTGGTGAATTACAGCAGAAGACTGTGAATGGTTTGCAAAAAGGTGTATTTACTAGCATATATGTTACTATTACTACAATATTGCCCATTTGAATTTGGGCATCTATTTCGCTATCCCCAATTAATAAAAACATTACACATTGTTGATTTTTTTCTAATAGAAGTGTAATTATCTGTCCAGCCTTCTAAATTTCAACTTCAACATTATATTCCAGATCTTACTAAGGATGAATTTGCAGAGCTAAGAAATCAAGCAGGAAACACTCCTCTCTTAAGGAGAAAGGTGAGGAGTCCTCTGCCCCCATTATAATGGCTTACCAGGAAACTGTTTGCCAGTAATTTGGTTTCATTATAATTAACAATCAGGACTTCTTGTCTTGGGTTGCATATAATCATTAGTGCCTTATGATCAGGCCACCCAAATAGCCTAATTTCAGCAATGCTTCTATGTTATAGAAATGACTGGGGAAAGAGATGTAGTAATTGTGGGAGAGCCAGTTTGAGGTAATGGTTAAGGGATCAGACTAGAAACTTAGAGACCATGAGTTATAATCCCACTTTAGGGATGAAACCAGCTGGGCGACCTTGGGACAGTTACTCTCTCTCTCAGCTGTAGAAAGTAAACAATGGCAAACCACTTCTGAATTTTTTCTAAAAAAACTGAAGGGTCCAGGCATTCACCAAGTGTTCACACTAACTCAAAAGCATGGAAGCAAACACACACACACACACACACACACACACAGAGAGAGAGAGAGAGAGAGAGAGAGAGAGTAGCTGTGGAGATTGTATAATTGTAGAAATGAGGGTTTACTTATAGACTTCTCAAGTAACTGTGTTTAGCAGACTAATTTCACCAAGGAGCATAAAGGGAATTTCTTGGTCTCCAAGACAAAGCTGTCAGGTAGCTCAGGAATTGAGGCCACATCTTCCCAGGATGGAAGAAAGGGAACAAGAGGGTCAAATAGCCAGTTCTTCTCCAGTTTGACTGCAGGCTTGAACTCTGGTAAGATCTCCCCTCAGATGTTCCTGCTTTCCCATACAATACCACACCAGAACAAAAGCATAGTAAATTCACAGATGCATTTTTGGTGTCAACTATATTTGCTGCCTCTCTTTGTATAATGTTTTATCATCAGGATGAACCTCTGACAAAATACTTAGGAGACCATCCACCAAGTAGGACTTCTCAGGACCTCCATCTTTTCCCTCTCCCGAGAATGCATCATAAAGAAAACTTCAGGGAAAATATTAATTATGTTCCAAGCTATCTGGATCAAGAAATAAAAGTAAGATTCCATCAGTAAGTGGTTCTTCTATGTACTATAGTATTCTGCGATAATCTTATTTTTCTTTGAATTGCATTGTCACTACTTAACTGAAACTACTAGTAAATGGTCGATGAAATTATTGGGTACTGAATGTAGATAAATGTTGAAATTTCTTTAAAACCCATACATTTCTCAGGACAGCTGTCCCCAACCATGGTGTCCTTTACATAGATTTAAACTGCCAAAACTCACCACTGGTCATGCTGGAAGAATTTAACTCCACATGAATGAAGGATGCCCATCCCAGGGAAGGCTGAAACAGAATCCTAGAAAGTGCTGCTGGTGGAACCAAAGGTGTATACAAAACCCAACTAAGATTTGTTTATTGTTTTGTTTTATTAGCTTCTCATCTTAGGGTATCTCTGGGCATATTACAATAATAAAAGATATAAATATATTAAAAGAAAGAAGTTACCGGTAATCCTTCCTTAACAACTGGAATTGGGTCTGGACATAAAGTGTGATGTCCAATGACACGAGTGTCAAACCGGATCGCGTCATGTGACATATCGCAATCTTTTTTGCCTTTGTGGAATGGGGTAGGTGTGGCCTGTGCGGGACGCATCCGGCCTGCGGGCCACCAGTTTGACAGCCCTGTCCTATGACCATATCAATTAGTGATGGTAGTTCTGGCAGTCCCCAATTACTGTTTTCATTAAGTTAATCTATGCAGGTCATTAAGCAAGGATTTCACATGAAATACAACTCTTGATTTCCTGCTGCCTTACCCACTGACTTTGATTGTGGAAAGCCAGCAACGAAAGTTGTATTGAGAGACATTCTGACAGTTGATTTAAAGACATTCTGACAGTCAGAAAACTGGGTCAGTTGCTGAGCGCTCAGATTACAATCATGTAATTGCCAAGGTATTGTGATGGCTGGAACTTTAAGGATCAGTTGTAAGTACCACTTGTTGAGTACTGTCACAAGTTCAAACTGTCATTGAAAGAATGGTTGTTAAACAAGAACCACCTGTATTAATATTGTATTATTATTGATCATCACAAAGTCAGCCAGATGTTCAGACTGGATTTGGCATTTTTGTCTACCTATCGAGTCCTTACCAAGGACCTGGGATAGGAAGATGTGGGTGTTTGATGGTATTGCAGATATCGTTGCAGGATGGAAGCAGTTCCTAGTAAGGCCGCCTTTTACAATTGACTAATGGCGAATTTGTCAATGCCAATGGTGTTCAAGTGGTGCTCCAGTTGTTTTGGGATTGCCATCTAAGGCACCTATTACTATAGGTACTACCCTTGCTTGCCTTTGCCACAGTCTTTCTATTTCTATTTGTAGGTATTTGTATTTTGTTATCTTCTCCTTTCTTGTCTATTCTGCTCTCTTCACTCACTGCCATGTCCGCTATCCAGACTTTTTTTGTCTTTCTTATCGACAATTGTTAAGTCCGGGGTGTTATGTTGCAGGTGTTTGTCTGTTTGAATTCTGAAGTCCCAGATGATGATGATGATGATGATGATGATGATGATGATGATGATGATATTATTATTATTATTATTATTATTATTATTATTATTATTATTATTATTATTATTATTATTATTTCAAAAATGGTTGGCTAGATATTTTTAGACTGGGTGCTATGGCCCTATTCTTTCCATCAGACTCCACATACATTTTTAAAAATTCAGAATCCACTAGCAACTGCCTTTTGCAATTTTGCCCAGGTGCATGAAAATGTTGTATTGTCTTTGCCAAAGTCAAAAGTATTGTATTCCCTATTCACTGTGACAACATAGTTTGTTTAAGGTTCTATATAAAAATAAATTGGATTTTTATTGTTATGTCTTTCTCTAAAATACCTGCCCTTTTCTACCAGTTTAGGAATCTGAACTCTTAGAAAACTGAAGTATTGCAAGCATGGTGTTATGTGTTACACATTATGAAGGTTAAATTATTTTACATTTTACATACAGCATTTGTATATAATTTGAATTAATGTTTGGCTCAGTATAAACCCAGTCAGGGATAAAATCAATAGTATTCTAAAAAAAATTATTGCTATCTTTTTGGCAATACTATCAGACATTGAACTGGAACATTAAAAAGATAGAGTTGTACATAAGACAATTAAAACTTCCACCTAATATGACCATCTTGATTCTAGGTCCTAGAAAAACTCTGTGACATTTTACAGACAGATACCCTTGGAGGGATCCAAAAGTGGTTATTAAAGGCAAATGTGAAAGGTAAAAAAAATACATGTTATAGTTGCAAAACATGTATTTTGTTTTTCTTATTGTATCAATAATCACGTTTTTTTAAAGTGCACAATACACTTTGAAAATTATTTGGAAGGTCCGCTTTTGAACTCTTTGCTATCTGCTGCTACTGCAGTTTTAATGAGTCAACTCATTAAAGTTAATGTGACTATTAAAGCAGTCGTTTCTTTTATTTTCAGTCTACTATATGGGAAGAATCAGCATATCTTATTTCATTTAGAGTGAAGGATGAATATTACTCTTACATCCTTTCATGTCATATCAACTAGATATAGAAACAGATCTGATGTAATAGATAAACTGCATATTGAAGCATGTGTGTGGAATATCCTGAATTCTGAAAAAAAATATGAAAGAAGCATTCTTCAGCTACAGAGAGAGGGAAAAACAGAGTTTGCCACACTGGCTATGGCTCTTGATCAACCCTTTTCATGTACCCACACTCTCAGTCAGAAAGCATACATGATGAAATTTATATATAAGCAGATTGCTCACTATCGAACCAAAAAGTAATTTGCAAAGCTTACCTTTTAAAGTGCCCCTATATCTTTCCTATTTCAGAGAAAGAGTTTGTATCCAATTTCATACGCTCAGATATGACCGGCCGTGATCTGTTGAACTATATGCCAACAGGCCAGATTGAAAGTGAAGTTCCAAACATTCAGGCTTTGCTGAGAGGGCAAAAAGGAACACCTAATGAAGGTAGCCGTGTCAGGTAAACTCACAAAAAGTGCACAAGGAATGGAGTTTGCACCATGGAAGCGCCTGCTGTAACCTGTTTATCTAAAGCTTCTCAGAGCTCCTGCAAATATAATTTAACAGCTGATCATCTTTATAGGTTCTTGACTTTAAGAGAAAGGCAAGAGCCAATGGAATGGGAAGGTCCAAATCCCAATCTTCCCTTAGGCTGAACCTGGCTGGGTGACTTTGGGCCAGTTATTCTCTCTCAAGAATGACTTGAGAGTTTCAAGTCTTTTCCCTAGACTGGAAAGTCAAAAACCATCTATTAGCCTGCACTGGATGAGTGTGCTAGATCATAGTCCTTAACCTTCGATGAAAAGTCCTTCATCCTACAATGGATTGATTTGGGTTAGGGTTAGGGATAGGCAAGTAATGTTGACACCATCAGTGGTATTACTGCAATCTTACAACTGGACCTACTATGTGGGTAAACTCATGATTCATTCTGCAAGAAGTGTGCATAAACAAAAAGAAAATATATTGTGACTTTTCCAAATGAGTATGATCATCATTTGAATGATGCCACCTTGCTGCACTCCACGTTCTGCCCTTTTGATAATCTATCATGATGTCCCGTGTATGTCCCAAACGGGCTGAGCTTGCAATGTGATGCTGTTTTTGTCATTTTTGCATTCGAAAAGTAACTGGAACTGGATTGCCCACAAAAATGTAAATAATATTCTGTTAGTAGTGTAGAAGTGTTTTTATTTAGTATGCATTTAATATTCAAGTTTAATACAACTATTTTTCAGGATGAGAGTTATATAATTTATAGTGTGTGGGTCAACTCATCATGTAGATATTATCACTATACATACCTACAATTGCTTTCGACTGACTGTGGCTTTTCTATATATTTTAAATACAGCATTGCAATGCAAGTAGTCCTTGACTTACGACCATAATAGAGCCCAGCATTTCTGTTGCTAAGTGAAACATTTGTTAAGTGAGTTTTGCTCCATTTTATGACTTTTCTTGTCACAGTTAAGTGAACCACTGCAGTTGCTAATTTAGTAACATGGTTGTTAAGTGAATCTAGTTTCCCTATTGACTTTGCTTGTCAGAAGGTTGCAAAAGGTGATCACATGACCCTGGGGCATTGCAACCGTCATAAATATGAGACAGTTGCCAAGCATTTGAATTTTGACCATATGATCACAGGATGCTGCAATGGTTGTAAAAATGTTGTAAGCCAAGGACTACCTGTATTATTAATTTGGTGATATAGTTCAATGAGAAGGGGCATCTCATTTATATTAGTAGGAAATACTATTTGGGAATTTTCTGTAGGCATGGTGAGATGGATTAAAAAGCACCAAAATCCAGTCTGCTGATAAAACCAGTTTCTGAAATCAAATAGTAAATGGGGAAATTATCAAGGGGACAATCTCTTGTCAGTGAGTATCTAAGAGAAGACTACTTTACACATTGAAGGAATATAGTTCTTTCTGCTCAATTTCCATCTATCTATTTATTTATATTCTTTTCCTAGAATCTTTTTTTACTAAAGTCACACAAAATTAAATGTTAGATTTGTACAGAATGGTTAAACAATCTTACTTTCATTTAGGACTTCAAGCCAAGGATCACTAGCCAGTAAAGGACCAAGACCAGGTAGGTATATATTTTGGCCTAAAAAAAAAAAGCTGATATTTTAAATTAGGAATAATTAGGAAAACAACAACAGGCTGCTATTTGGAGTCTGCATAACTACATATGTATAACTGCTTACACATTGCACATCCATTATGCTCGCCTTTTCATTAGATGTGTAGATAAGAATACCCGAGTTCTTAAACTAGCATTTTCTGAAAATTTCTTTCAGATACAGAAAAAAGTAATTTATTTGCAAAGAGAGGGAAAGTAGAAGACACTGCACCACTAGAGGATCTTCCCAGCAGTTCTGCAAAACACTCAAGTGGCCCTCAGTCTCCTGTATTGACCCAAAACAGCACCCAGTTTTTATACCGCAAGGCTCGCTTTAGAAAAACTTAATTCAGGAGGAATTCTTCACACCTGTTTCCTTTCCTGAGAGTCTCTGAAAACGAAAAGGGCATTTTCTTGGAGGGCTGTGTGTAGTAAATCTCTGATGGTGACATCCTGATCTAAGTCCAAATCTAATCTAAGCTCAAATAATACAGCGAACCAGTAATGAAAATGCTAAATACATTTTATTTGTCTTTGTAAGAGTTCACAGCTGATGTTTGAAATTTGTACCAGACGTAACTGACATTTCCATTATGTCAGAATACAAATAATGAAGTAATTTATTTACTTATAACTTTCAGAATTTTAAATGCACTTTTCATTGAGAATTAACTCCAAGAAAGATATTAGTCTGGATTTAACAACTTAAATTATGCTCTGTTTTGACCATTTAAAATTGATTATTTTGTTTTCTGCTAATCCAAGAAACCTGTTGCTTCATCTAAAGCAGGGGTGTCAAACTCAATTTCACTGAGGGCCGCATCAGCATTGCGGTTGCCCTGGGGGTGGGTGGGTGGGGGTGGCCAGTGGATGCAGCCTACTGGGTGGGCGTGGATGGAGTGGGTGTGCCTACTGGGTGGGCGTGGCCAGTTCTACATCATTCGCGTCAAGGGTGCCTATAGGGGCCTGGGCAGGAGTGGAACAGATCTGAAGGTCTCTGGCAGAAGAGGGTGGAACCGGGGCAAGTGCCAAGGCATGGTCCACCGGGGCAAGTGCCAAGATGGCCACCACAAAATTGTACATTGGCTCCCAGCTGGCCTGGGCCAGGGCCAAGGTAGCGGGGGCCATTCCCTCACTGTTTCCAGGATGGCTTTGCGGGCCACATGAAACCACTTCGCGGGCCGCATCTGGCCCCCGGGCCTTGTGTTTGACATGTCTGATCTAAAGATAATGTTGTTTTAACTGTTAGATTTTATATTTTCAACAATAGAAAGTCAACAATTGCATGCTTATTCATTTCTCCTTTCCAGCATTTCATGGAAGAATATTGGTACTACCGTAAAGTAGTACCACTTAATAAGTAATAGGTTTTGATGTGCCCATAATAGCATCTCATCAATCCCAAAATGGGATATGCAGACATGGCTGAACATTTCTACTTTTTTTTCTGGAGTGGCTCAGTGAATTTCAAGAGTCACCACTTAATGATACATCAATTTTGATGTAGGCTGTGTACATCTTTAGGAGATGAAAGGTAGCTTAGGAAAGAGAATGAAAACAGTACTCCTCTTTGGACAGAAAGAATTTTAACAGTCTTCTTACTAAATCAGATTGTATATGTTTGTGGAGAAGTCCGAATCAACACTGCAGAAGCTTCATACTCAAATGGATTATGGCTTCTGCAAAACCATACCATAGCACAGGGAAAGTAATTGGTAGTTTCAAATTCTAGCTAAGCTCTCATATCCCAGAGCTTCCCTGTGAATCCATATTTCTTTAAGAGTATCACTGCAATGGAATATACAATAAGCTTTATGCAGCCAATAATATCTTCAAACTGATTTTGACACATGGTCTTCAGAGACTCATCCATGTAGCTTGCTTGGCAGTAATGCAGAATGCATGTACAATCGTATGAAAAAGTAAGTAACCTGGTCAGGCTCTATCATAAAATGCACTATGAATTCTCCATTGTACCAGAGAGTATTTGAAAATAGTATGAGACCGTGTGAGAAGACTGAAGCTCAACCAAAACTGGACCTTGCAATAGGACAATGACCGTAAATGTTTCAGTATATCCACCAAGAAATAGCTGGGGGAAAAAGTAGAAGAAATGGAATGGCCAAAGTCAAAGCATCACTGAAAAAAATCTGCATGGAGGAATGCAAAAATATTCTCCCAGTTGATGTGAAAGATCTCTGACCTCTTTCCCAAATAATGCACAGTAATTTATCAATTCTAGCCTAACGCTGCGTGAGAAAAATAGTACCTCTGTCCTCCAGTTCCCCCTCCACCCAATATGCATGCACACCTGTTCCTTTGCTTACTTTAGTTCTCCATCAAAAGTAGCAGAACCAAAACAAGCTGTGAGAAACAAGAAGAGAGCTATACCCATGTCTATTCTAGTGCGGTGGTTATGTTTCACTGTACTATAATAAATGATTCTCCTCCAAGCTTTCCCCAGACATTAACAGCTGAGTCTGCAGTCTTCAGGATCCTGTATGTCTCGGTCTACTGAAACAAGTCAAATAGGCTACTTTAAACAGTCATATATCCATGTCAAACGCCTCATAAAAGTCTTCAGACAGCAACCATTCTTAGGCATGTATTTATACAATTTATTCTAGGGAATTGCTAAAAATGTCACTGAAGATTAGTTGGTGCAAAAGACAGCAAACCCTCACAGTATTATGGGAGAAATACATGATAAAGTTGTTTCTGAAAAAGATTATTATTCACAAAATAGAAACTGAAAGTGATACTATAGTATCTTAATCTAATGACAACCATTAATGACTACCCCTAATAAAGGCAAATTTAAAACAGAACACAACACCTGAGGGACAAAATTGGAAAATGTCTTATTTTGCCAATTCTTTAGAGCACCAAAATATTTTTTTTGGCAATACTTTCAGCACCATTTTGGTTTAGAAAGGAAGATGTCCAATTATTCTTGTTTTTCCAGAAAAACTCCAACTTGTGCTGTCCAAAATATCTGATTTTATCCATTTCCCACCTTTATTAGTTTTATAAATAACTCAAGATAGTGAACATACCTAATACTCCTTCCACTATTTTTTCACAACCCTGTGACATGGGTTGGGCTGAGAAAGAGTGATTGCCTCAAAGTCACACAAAACTTTCACACTAAAACAGGACTATATCCCAGTTTCTAGTGTTAGAAGGTAAGTCTTCATCCTGGTTCATCCAAGCCGGAAATAAATAAGCAAACATGGCGACTGCTTTGGGAAGAAGGTTACAGTTTATTGCAGAAGACAGATAAGCAGCAGAGGAGAAGAAAAAAGAGTGAGCACATGGGCAGATGGTCTTTTTATACCCTCTAGCCCTGCCTGGAAGTTTCCTGTTCCTGTGGCATGAACTTTGAGGCTATTTCTGAGTGTTTTTCTAGGCTTTGANTTGTCTTCTTGATGGCTCTGGCTTCAACTTTCTGATGGTTCCACATCTGCATTTGTATAAGACTAGCTACTGCCCTGGGCAGAGATGAGGCCAGGTTTGGTTTCTGCTTTTCAAAAAAATGCTTTTAAAAATCCTTTTGGTGAACAATATTTTTTTCCTGCCTTTTTAATATTTCCTTCTCTGGGTTAACTTCCCACACTAGTTTGAGATTGGAAACTTCTCGGACGATTGGAAAAATAGTGGTAATCTTCTGATAGTCAATTTAAATAGCTTTTTCCAAGGTTTAAAAAGAGCATCCAAGCAGTTTTTGCATACCTCATTTCCATTCCCCTTTGTTGTCTCCTTATTGCTTATAGAGGAAAGCCAATTGGTTTTAGAATCTAGATGTGCTTATACTGTATATTCCAAGCTGCATTTGAGTTAAATAAATAAAAATGCTGAAGGAATCACCATAACATGTAACATTTTTGTGCTAAAATCTATTATTCAAACAGCACATTTTGTTTTATAAACCTCTAGTCATTTCACTTCAGTAAAATAAACTTTTTTTTTTTAAAAAAAGACTAAAATATGTAGAAATAGTTTAACTACATGGCAGAATTATTTCAACAGATTAAACAACTTCAATCAAACTTTGAATACTGTTTTATTTACTAGCGATCTCTCTCTGTGTATGTATGTATGTATGTATGTATGTATGTATGTATGTATATGTATGTGTGTGTATAGGGAGGGAGGGAGAACATTTGTTATTTTAAATTTCACATACAATTGAATGAGAATCAACAAAACTTAATTCTAGCTAGCTTCTCATTTTGATATTTGCTTAACTTCTTCAATCATGTTAAAGTTCCTTAACTTGTCTTAAAACTTTCAAGCTTTTGGAATATAACTGAATCTCATAGTGATTTTCAACTTCTGAAAACTAAGTAACTTTGAAGAAGCAGACTTATTTTTTCAGCATGCCATATAGCACATAGGAAATATACCTTTCTGGACATTCAAGAATTTTAATATTGTCAATGAAGAATTGTAACTATTAAAATAAATCTTTCAGTGAAACTGGGGTGGAGCCTCTTCTTGTATTCATTTGCAAAACAGAAGTTGTGAAAGCACAGCTTCTTCACACCTGAGCCTTGGGGGGAGAAACATATACAATGGTAACTTCTTACACTTAGACAATGTCAATATACTGTAATGGGAAGCTGCTGTGTAGGTTATGTTTCTGATGATGCACCTTCATTTTCATTCTTACTGCAGAAATTACTAAGCGTGCCCATGATGTAAACTGTAGTTGAATTATATCAGAAAAGTTGAAATGTAAAATAAATTTCTGTCCTGTTTCTGCATAGGAATCCAGAGGATGTAGATTGAAACAAAGTCTTAATGAAATACAAAATTACTCTTCATCTTCTTAATTTACAATTTTAGTTGCAGTTGCATCTTATCATGTCTGGCTTTTACTAAAGAAAGATCTCAAATATTACGAACAGAAAATTATAATCAAGAAAACATTATACTTAATAGAAGTTCCAATACAGATTTCAGCCAAATGAATGTTTACCGTATTATCATTAAAATTCTGTTGTGAAGTTCAGAATAAATCAAATATTACAAACATGAAGCAAGAAAAAAACAACAAGAAAACATTACACTTGATATGAGTTTCAGTATAATTTCAATCAAGTGAATGTTCACTGCATTATTAATTACATTTTATTGTGAGGTACAGAATAAAAAACAAATAGTCTCCAGCAAATATTAAATAAAAGATTAAGAAGGAAAATAAATATTGGCATCCTTGAAAATCTAAGCTCCTTCAACGGTGGTTTTTTTTTGCATATTTAAATGCTATTAAATATTTTATGAGTAAATATGCAGCTTAAATTTGGTAATAAAAATCTGGTGCTTGAAACCAGGAGACGAGGTATAGCATCATCCCGTAAATTCCAAAGTCGGAAGCTTTCTATCTCGTGTCACGAGTAGCATTTTCACTGACATTTAGCTGCTTTCAGAGACTTCCTCTTGAATAATTTCCGACTCTTGCTGCTTGCATGGGGAGGCAACGGTCGCCTCGGTTGCCCCGTGCAGCAGTTTGGCCCCTTTTCGCTGGGGCAAGATAGTAAAAAAGGCTTCTTCCCAGTTCTTCTTTTCCAGATATGCCAAGACGATTTCAAATACTATGAGAAAAAGAAAACCAGGGTTTTTTTTTTTAAAAAAGGAAGAGAAAATGTTTGATAAGAAAATTAGATAATAAAGGAAATAAAACTAAGTTTAATTATAAGCTTCTGCAGTAACCACAAAATAATCTTATTTTGTACATTGTATTTGATTTATATATTGTTATTAAATAGAAGGTAACATGCAATTGTTCTTAAGTGAGAAGTAACTCTATTACTTAATGTTTTTCTCCCTAAATTCTGTACTATGACAAACATTGTAAATCACACATCCATAAGGGACTGGTTTGGACAAAACTCAGCAGCACATTTTTGTGCGGCTGCTGATAAAAACAGGATTGCCAACATGATCGCCAACGTCCGATAACGGATATGGCACAAGAAGAAGAAAAATAAGTAGAATTGATTGATGTTTAAAAGCGTATAAAAACATAGTTTTAAAAGGGATATATTGCAATTAATCTAGGCTGCAAATAAGAAAAATAGACTCAGCAAAATCAATTCCGTTTTTTAACATCTAACTGCACTTGTAGCTTGTGCATTACGGAAATTGAGAAAAAAGGTTACTCTGGAAATCTATTTGCAATAAGCTAATAGCTAATGGATAGCTGAGGGCAGGGTGGAAACCCTTCCACTGAACTATTTCTGTGAGTATGTAAATAAAAATAAGATAACTGCTTCATGTACTGTATACCCAAGCATTTTCCTGATTTCTACTTTGTCAATGGAATATCTGTAGCAACAAAACTTTCCTCCGCTATTGTACTGCTTTTATTTCTGGTTGAAGACTACTTCTGCAGCTTCCTCATCTCAATCATCTTTACTGGGATTTGAACCGTTTACTAACAGTTGCACTAAACAATAAGATGTAGCAACTAGGAAAATATTATTCTTACCATGATTGACTGCAAGAACTTTCCTGCTGTTCATTTTCACAAAGTTTCCTAGGGGGAGCTGTGCATGGCTTATACCTTGTTCTTTTGCTCTTTTGTATGTAATTCCCTATAAGCAAAATAAAGAAAATGACCATTTGTTATTAAATTACACTGCCTGAGATTATTTGCACTGAATTCATTTTATGTTTGTATAGTAAAATATATGCATCACACAGCCTTATAGCATGATTTAAAGATGTTTCATATTATAGAGCACTGATTTATAAAAGATATTAATTATTAAGCTATTATCTATAATCTAAAATGCTGAGAAACCACTTTTATTTTCATGGCTTATATACAAAGACAACCAATTAACTGATTATGTATTCATCAAAGTAAACAGTTTCTATGAACTGAACCAGTTATCAGAGCTGACATGGAGAGAAACAGCTCAAAAGATTAATTAAAATACGGGCTTATTTCTTAAATTGTGCACAAATTTGTTGTGTTTATCAAATCCACCTTATGCTGTCATATTGAACTCACATTTTCAATAATGACCCAAAACTATCCATATTAACAAATAACAGCTGGTGGAAGCTAAAGAAATGTAATCCCTAGACTGACTTGAAGGCATATGATCAGAAGAAACCCATAAAAATTATACAAGCTTTTTAAAGAAATAGTAAGATGATGACAAATGATAATAAACATACCAACCATTCAACACCTTGCTGTATTTCTGTTCTGCAGTTCTGCAGATTTTCCTGTAAACTTATGTCTATGAATGCTATAAACAGTTTTATTAGACACTTTTATTAGACACTAAATTCCTTTTGCATTTATTTTTAATGCTAGCAATACAATAAACATGATTAAAATAACAGAATATGCGCTGGATGAAACACTAACCGCACAAGTACACTGCTGGTATGCTGTATCTGTTACAGAGCATAGATGTATTGTGACAATATGCTATCCTGTGACCATAATAAAGACTCAATTTGTAGTGTGACAGTATCTACAGAATTTCCATTTACATATGGGATGGGATGGAGCCTCTTACTTAGTTCCTGCTGATCTTGGAGTGCAGATGGCTCAGGACTCAGCAGTCTCCTCCATATTACTTAAAGGTGCATGAAAACACCCATCAAGCCCTTGATGATAGCAATCCATACTCTGATTTGGTCAGTCTATTGCAATGCACCCTATGAGGTTGTCTTTGAAAGTTATCGAGAAACTACAGCTAGTACATAATGTAGTGGCTCCTAATAGGTTTGGATAACATCCATTTTGAACTCATACTGGTTATTGGGAGGTTTTCAGACCCAATTCAAAGTGCTTTTAAAGCTCTTTATAATGCTGCTCCAGGATATATCAGGCATGTAACAGAATGGAGCCCATCTATTTTGCCCTAATCAAGAGAGGGCCTACAGCTTATTAGGTGTGCATGGGGCATGTTCTAGAGCTAGACAACAGTCCTCCTAGATGGTAACCCCCCGTTTATTCTTCCCCAGAAGCACTAATGGCCCTGACTCTGCTGGCATATTGTGAATAAATTAAAAGTAGTTTAATCCTAATGACTGGTGAGCCCTTAGATTAGTTTCAAAAACACCTATGAGATTTATTGACAGCTGTCCAGCATATAACATAAAAGTCCAACTTATCCAATTATGTTTGTTTTTGATTTTTACCTTTGACTTTGCTGTACCCTAACTATGGTGCAGGGTGTAAGTATAGAAAAATACTGTACATCCCAATGACTCTCACCATGATCAGTACTGAAGGATGTTGTAAGCTGTAAATCAACATGCGGGAAGTCACAAATTCTCCAAACTGAACATAAAACTACATTCATAAAAATCCCATTTCATTTTTCATTAATTTTTAGTTCATTAAGATTTTTTTAAAGTATGCATGCACAATATTATAATTAGTCATCTACCTTGTGGTGATTGTGATCAACCAAGCCGCCAATAACATAGGCTTTTGATTCATCTAATTCATTCAAGACATCTGGAGAATCTGAGGTAAGGTAAACAAGATCTTCCTTTTTCACCAATTCATTATAATGAGCTGATTTAATATGAATATCCTTCAAGACACAAACACAAGTCCAAATGTAAATTATTTTAAAACTAATTTTTTTTTACTATCTTGAGTATATATATTCTATGCCTGCAATAAGAGTACTGTATGTAACTATCAGTAAAGGATTAACAACGCAATGAAACAGTATTACAGCATTATCATTTATCTGGAAAGAATATCTTTACTATATATAGTATATTGGAAAGATTATAGCTAAAATGAAGAAGGCACTTATTTGTAAGTCACTCAGTGATCACAAAATATAGGTAATCCTTGACTTATGACTATACTTAAGCCCAAAATTTCTGTTGCTAAGCAAGAAGTACTTTTTGCTCCATTTTATGATCTTTCCTGCCACCATTGTTGTGAATCACTGCAGTTATTGAGTTAGTAGCATGGTTGTTAAAGGAATCTAATTTCCGCATTGACTCTGTCTGTCAGAAAGTCTCAAAAGGTGATGATGTGACTTTGGGACACTGCAACCTCATAAATACCTGCTGGTTGCTAAGCGTTTGAATTTTGATCAGATGATCATAGGGATGCTGAATTGGTTGTAAATGTGAAGAAGTCATAAGTCACTATTTTTAGTGCCGTTGTAACTTCAAATGTTCACTAAGTGAACTGTTGTAAATCGAGGACTACCTGTATCTGTAGTTTCATTTCACTGAAGGCAAAGTTCATAGTACAGCAATCTGACAATGGATAATGTTGAGACAACTCCTGTCAAATTCATGCATTTCTAAAAAATTGATTCAAAAATGTTTCGGCGAATATCTGTAGCTCAGGTATAGGACGAAGGTGAAGGTCTGTTCTCCAAAAACCCACAAGCTCAGAGAACAAACTTTCACCCTCAATTTTTTTTTAATGTAACAGTTAATTAAAAATTATATACTTAAAATTGCTAGTACCTTCCAATTTATCCATCCCTTGTCTGTTTCATTCATGTTGTCCTTCAGCTGGCCTCCATGACTGGTCAAGTAAAACTGGGAAATAAAAATGCATGCAACATTCATTGATAATTTTTAAGATTATACAACAAATACTCTTTTCTACCATTTCACATTTTACACATTTTAGTTCACCTCAAACAGGATAATAACTTAAGACTTGGAAGTTCAGAAGGATTTTTTGGTACACATTTTAGGTGATTCTGTGGTGTTACATAAAGACCCCAAATATGTGTGGTAAAAGTTAGATATAATATAGATGAAATAAAAACCATACAAACATTTGGTCAACAGGGAAAAGAGAAATGATATTATAGTAAACATGCTATATCTGTAAAGGATCCCCAAGAAAGAGGAGCTGAAAGCCAGTGCAATAGTACAAACTTCATTAAACTTTATTACTCTGTTAAACTTACTGCGTTTACCTGAAAATAAGACCGGTCTTATTATTATTTTTGGCTCCAAAAGACGCATCATGGCTTATTTTCAGGAAAACACAGTATCAAGGTGATCAGCCCGGCCAGGTGCCCCACTTCCCCGGTGCGTGCACAAGAGGCGGCGATCACGCGGGACCTGACGGTGTCCGGCAGCAGCTGTAGCCTGCCAACCCCTTGGCCAGTGCACTCTATGGCTGCACAGCCTGTGCAGTGCAGGTGAGTTGATTATCTGTCCAAGCAGTAAGCAGAGGCAGATGCGTGAGGCAGGTGATCTGGATGCGCTGCGTGGCCGTGGGCGACCCGAGAGACTGTGGGACAGAGAGGGTGGCGCGTCAGGATCACCTGCCTCTCCCGTGCCTGCTGCCGGCGCATGTGTCTGGATCACCTGCCTCCCCACCTCCACACTTGGACTTACCTGTGTTGCGCAGGATGCGGCTGCTGCCGGACACCATCAGTCCCCGCGCGCTTGCCGCCTCCTGTGCTGGCCATACCGAACTACCCCCAGGCTTATTTTTGGGTAGAGCTTATATTAGGAGCATGCTAAAAAATCAGGCTAGGGCTTATTTTCTGAGAGGGGCTTATTTTCTGTGAAACATGGTAGCATACATGCAATTTTATGACAACAGATTCTGGAGTCTCCCATAGCACATCCATACCAAGAATTAGTTTATAAAGTTTTTATAACTATCATTGCATTCACTAATCTCATGTGCAAAACAAATTATCAGGTATAACTTATGGGGAAAAAAACCCAAGCTTCTCAATGGAATGCTCTTTCCATGAAATCTGCAGTGTCTGTATGAGGTGTCATATCATTTACGTGCCTATACGGTCTGTGCCTTGCTGCGCAGTTGCTATGTTTTATATTAAAGTTCATGCAGTGATTAAATATGGTGTTAGCCTAGTTTAGTATATACATGAAGAAGTTTTGTCATAAAGAGGGAATGAATAAAGATGGAATATCAAAACAAATATATGAAGGAAGAATGAATGGCCTGAAAGGAGAAGACAAAGTGGTGGCAGGATGCAGCTGACAAGGACCTTAGAGAGATGTTTAAAGAACAAAATCCAATGTTTGAGTTGGTGTAAGGAGGTGGTGGATCGTTTGCAAGGATGACTTGCAAGCAGTAGAAAGACAGGAGAGATATATTGAATGGATTGCCATAAATTACCTTTAGGCACATTTTATATTCTTTTTCTTATCTCCAGGCATTAACCTCTTTTCCTTACCACTTCTAACTCCTTTTCTGTGTGCACTGTTACCCAGGATATTTTGTAGCAGAAAAAAATACAAGGCAATCAGTACTTTAAATTATCTATAGCATGCGTAAACTCAGTATAGGCATGCCGCATGACAACTATATTTAGACACATTTGGACATTAGTATTGTCACATTTTTAGACCAATATCTAAAAATCTTTAAATTATTATTGTATATGCTAAAATGCAAGTATAATAAGCATTATGTTATGTTTAAAAATCATCTTTCATATATATTGCATAACACTAAGAAAGGCATCAAAGAAGGAGATTACTTGGATTGACATACCTGAACAGGATGAAGTGCTTTACGATTTTCTGCATAACACCTCTGAATTTGCTTGTGAAGTTTCTTGACATCCTGTATACAATACAATTTGTTTTTATACTGTCCTTCAGAGAAAGCACCACAAAATGCTTTAACCAAGAGATTCAGAGAGACGCTAAAGAGAAAGAAAGGAAGCTTTTAACCAGCAGAAATTACTTCTAAAACATGCACCTGAAGAAAGCATGCTAAAAGTATAGAGGTTTTCTAAGCTCTCACTTATTACTAGCTCATCACTCTAAAAATAATCCAGATGAAGCTAACAATCTGATTAAAGATAATATCTAGGCAGCAATGCTGTGTACATGAGCTTCAAAATGATAATAGTAGTGCATAATTCTTTCTGGGACTTGTCTTATTTTAAATTCTACTTATTAGTAAAATATTAGTAAAATGTAATAAAATTATGCAATTAAAAATGAAAAATAATTTTCCTAAAATTAAATTATACAAGCAATTTACAAAAGCGTTGCACCAATTTTTCTAAACCCATTGGGAATATTGGTAATGTTTGTCAAGTAACGCTAACCTATGAGGGTCAGTCTGGAGACATGGTTAAGGCATCAGGCTAGAAAGCAGAAGACCATGGATTCTAATTGGGCAAGGGTTTTCCAAAAATCTTGTACAGGGACTAATCCAGGCAGTTGTGACAAGTCGATGCTGACTCAAAGGCACACACACAAAAATGTACCATATTTTTGAACTAGGTTAAATCTTACTTCTTCGGTCCTTCATTAATTCTACATTAATTTCTCAAGTCTCAACATTTTCCAAAAATTCTTTTGAATAAATTCAGTTCAGATATTAATTTCCATCGCTAAGCAATGTAGTCGCAAAGTGCAATGTCACATGACTTCATCTCTTAGTGACAGCAATCCTAACAGTTGTTGCTACCATTGTTATGAGGGTCATGAATCATTAAATGAGAACCTCACATGACTACAATGTGAGACTTTGTGCGAGCCTCTCCCAAAGTCAATGGAGAAGCTGGCAGGAAGTCTCAAGTCCTCAGTGGCTTGCGGGGAGCAGAGTAAATATTAGAGAGAGGCAAAGTGGAAGGGTACGGAAATAAGTGCCTATGGCATGGGGTGTTGCTGCGAAGTGCAAGCCAGCTGGGGATAGGATGCTGCTGTGAGGCATGAGTGTGCATGGGCTTGGGACCGGATGCTGTAGCAAGACGTGAGTGCACGTAGGCTGAGGAAGAGAGCTGCTGTGACTGCATGCAAATTGGGAAGGATGTGCTGTTGCAAGGTGTGAATGTGTGGGGGCTGGGGAGAGGTTGATGATGCAAAGCACAGATGTGTGTGAGCTGGAGAGAGGAGATGGTGCAAGGCACAAGTGTGGTTGGGTGAAGGGTGGGGGGGTTGAGGCCTGACTTCACACTAAAGAACATGAGTTCTGTAGCAGAGTTACTCAGGGAAAAAAAATGGCGGGAACAATTTACAAGCTTCCCTGCTTGCTTAAAATGTCATTGTAACATCAAACAATCACTGAATGAGTCATTGATAACTGAAGGTTACCTATATCTTGGGAATCTAGAGAATAACTACAACATCTACATGATTGCAACGAGTTGACAATGACTTGATGACATAATCTTTCAATCAAGATTATGATTGAAGATTATGGCTGAGGAATTCTGGGAGTTGAAGTCCACAAGTCATAAAAGGGCCAAGTTTGAAGACTCCTGAATCAATCCATCAAGAAACTTCTTAAATATTATTTCTATTTACCTTTAACTCCATTAAATTGTCAAAACTGCAGTCTATTACAATCCGAAGTGCACTAGGAACAATATCCCTACGCATACGTTTCCTGACATTTCCTTCACTGTTTGATTCCAGATGAGATTGGCGCTCCGTTTTTCTCTTCAAGCGTTTTTCTTTACGTTTTTGCCTGAAATGTTGGAAACAAAAACATCACTATATTATTCAGTGGCACAATATAGGTTATTATATTCTTCCATATTGTTTTAAAGATAAGAGATAACTGTTGGTTATCTGCTAAGGCATGTACTTTTAAATGTTGGATGCTGGCATATAATACTCAAGCAGAATACATGTTTAAAGGATAATGAATAACAAGTCATGAAGAGAAAAAGTATATTTGAAATGTGGAAAGGAAGGCCAGAAGAAAACAAAAAGATGTTTAGGTAATTTACTGTATATATAACCTATTATTTCATTTGTCCAATAAGATACCATTTATACAGTGTGAAATCAGATAGGTTATAAAAGTTTCCTAGAAGTCTTTCATCATGCAAGATGAGAGAGATTACACATTTATTCAGTCCTCTCCAGTATAAAGGAAACAGAGAAAAGGATGAGCTCATATAATCCTCAGGCTTCTGAACTTTTTCATGGAAGAAACTGGGTAGCAATAAAACAAATCAGCTCAGAGGTGCCTAATCACAAAATCCATCCCTTTTATAAGAAACAAATCGTACTTGCGCAAGGCTCTTTGTTCTTCCCATTGTTTCTGCTTTATTAGCTTCTTTCTTTGTCTTTTTGACATAGTTTCAATATTCTCCATCTTTTCCAGTGGCAATTCTTTAATTTCTACCTTATCAACATTGCACTTCACCTTTTCCTCTGTATCAGTACCACTGGATGTTTTAAAGTTTTCTGGTGGCATTCCTGAAGACATGAGCTTCAAAAACAAAAAACAAAAAACCACAATTTGATTATTAGAAAGCTTAATCAAAACAAAATATATATATTTAAAGCTCTTGCCTAAGGCAGTTGAATATAAAGCATTCTCTGCCTATCATACAAATTATGATGAAAAAAAATTATTTCATAATTTGTACTAAAATGCATACACAAACACATAAAATGCCAATCAACAAGAAATAGTACAAATTCAAGACATTTGTGATTGAAATAAACAAATAGATGGCCCAAAGCTGGTATAATATTTGGGGGGGGATTGTAATAAAAGAGAACATTCACAGATGTCAGTTACCTTACATTATCATACATTCTATTTTGCAACCATATAATAGCCATTATATTATTTTCAGTTTAAAAATTATCTGGATTATGTCTGCATTTTATTACATTTCCTAGAGGAATCAGCAATCCATTTGATTAAATATCAGTAAAGAAAATAATAGTGGAGAATTCATAAGGCTGCTAAATTCAAAAACCTTGAAGCTTTATAAAACTCAATGAAATGAAAAATATCCCCAAATCTAAAATAAAAATAAAAATCTATACAAAGCCTTAGAAAAAGGTACTTGGCAGCATTCAAAAGCAAAAAAAAAATTACCTCTCCTTGATGGCCACACAAGCATGTAGACAACCAGGGGCAGCTTTCAAAGAGGTTGTGCGAGGTTGTGCTGCATTCTGCAAAGAACCTCTTTCAAATGCTTTGCATCAAACTGGCAACAATACAAAGTAAAACATCCATATAGTTTATTCCATTTTCTTGAAACAATTTAAATTGCAAGAAACCATGACTTGCACTTTTTTTCCAGCAGTGTCTTGGGGTCAAACCTGTAGGTCTAAGACAGGGGTAGGCAACCTTGGCTCTTTTTGTTGTACATAGTATGTTTTAGGTGTGTGTCATGTATGTGTTTCACTTTGAGAGCGGGCAACTAAATTTCATTTTTGATGTGTGCCGTTGTGCCCACAGTAAAAAAAAAAGACAGGTTATCTTATGACTGGTGGACTTCAACTCCCAGAGTTCCGGAGCCAGCCACGCTGGCTCAGGAATTCTGGGAGTTGAAGTCCACCAGTCATAAAAGAGCCAAGGTTGCCTACCCCTGGTCTAAGAAGCACCAAGCTCCACCCTTCTGCATGAGGGAGGGGGACAGGGAGAGGGAGAGAGAGACCTGCAGTAAAATACTACTTATGTCATTTTAACAAAAGCAACAGCAGCCTAAAGAAGCTCACAATTTTATCCTTTTTTAAATAGGAAGCTTGAGTCTTCCAATTCTCACATATTGAAGCCGTTCCCTTGGGGGAGCATAGATTACTTTCGCTCCGTTCAGTTCAAGCTTTCTCGGACCTGAGCGCGCACATTTTGCCCCAGAGCAGTGGTTCTCAACTTGTGGGTCGGGACCCCATTGGGGTCGATCGACCATTTCATGGGGGTCGCCAAGCAAGGCTGTCCGCCATTTTTTTGTCCGCCATTTTTTTTCCCCTTTTCCGGCGGGTGCCTTACCTCCCTTGGGCTGGGTCAGCTGGTGGTCGGCCTGCTCCGTCTCTGCCACTTGCCAGCTACGCCTCGGCCGGCACAGGGGGCGGAACCACGCATGCGCGGCGCTCCCGGGCAGGGAAAGTCCTCGACTTACGACCGGTTGGGTAGTCCTCGACTTACGACCGGTTTAGTCCTCGACTTACGACCGGTTGGGGTCGCGGCATTAAAAAGGTTGAGAACCACTGCCCCAGAGAGCCTCGCCACACCACAGAAGGGCCCACTTCCGTGGTGCCAGACGGCGCTTCTTTTGCGCCGCAATTAACTCGAGTGGCTTTTCCCTTCTTTTAGGTCATTCGTAACAGAGGCTCAAAGCATTTCTAAAGGACTTGGTCCGAAGCGGATCGGCCTTGAGTCGCCTCGGGGAGGGGGAGGAGCCGAGAGCCCTGCACGGAGTCTTTGGAACCAGGGCTGGACTACAACTCCCGTCGTGCCCCCGCCAACATGGCTGCCAGCTAGCGCTATGCTGGGCAAAATCGGGCTCGACTGCTGAAACCGTTGGGAAGGGAGGTGGAGGAGAAACGTGACTTCCCGACGACCAAACTAGGAGGAAGGGCTCTCTCTCTCTTCTCTCCCTCTCTCTCTCTCCTTACCTCGCACCCCAGCGCACGAACCAGGAGCGATGGCCACCGCCGAAAGACCAGCAACCCGGGCTGGCCCTTCCCTCCGCATGCGCCGCTGACGCCCAAGACCGCAGTGGCACCACTCGACGCGAACTAATGACGCAATACCTCAGTCTCGTGACTTAGTAGGCGGGGTTGTAGTGGGAAAACTCCTCCCCGACTCGCTTTTGCGTTTATAATACTGCCTTTTGTCTTTTGAGAGGCTGTTAATCATTTTTATTTTTTTTAAAGACCATAGTGCCTTTCACTTGTATTGGCCTACAAACGTTTGTCCGCGGGAGCTGAAGAAGTATTTAGCATCTGATTCAATAATCCAAATGTGATTTAGTGCAAGTGCCCGCTGGCTTTTGAATCTGCACTTTAATGTTTTATTAGCTAGTCTACGTTACACAAGATATCTTTCCCATTCAAGTATTTTCAATTAAGAGTAGCTTCATAGGTTGCAGAAGCAGATAGAAAACGAAAATTAATATAGAGTATACCTTCATAGAAAATATTGCTACATAGTGAGCTGATATATGGATAAGTTTCTTAGAGAACTCAGCATGACACATCACTTTTTTATCGTTGGATCTTTGGGGATTGATACATATATTACTGTAAAAAGATAAATTGCAATTGCCAGATTACTACAAGTGGAAAATGACAGTTTACTGATCATTGCAATCAAAGGGATGCATCTTAAATTGGATTAATCAATGGCCTGTGGCTATGCAGAGGCCTCAGTTCCCCAAAAATGTGATCTCTGGAGATGTGACTTTTAGTGGGTGACTGATGAGAATGATAATGCTATTTATAGTAGGAAATTAACTTGGGTTTCTGCCAACTGACAGCACTGGTTGGCAGAGGGTCACTGGGACAGAAGCAAAAGGGCAAAGAAGAGAAATGTGCGAGTGTATATTTGAAAAGGTCTATGCCAGTTTGCATGTCCATAGTGATATGTTCCTGACAAAAAAATTACCCCCACACATTAGTGTAATGCATAGAGATTTTCTCTTCTGCACTAGCTTTTTCTTGCTTGGCTGGAAAGTAATTGCCAAATTGTTTTGTATTGATGGTAGGACATACAGGACAAGTTTATAAATGACATTTCCCCCACTAAGCATTCAAATGAGGCTTGTGAGAAGAGCAGAATAAGACTTTTTTTTTTTTTAAATCAGTTTGCTCAAAGAAACCATAATTATCTTCATTACATGATAATGGAAAGACTTTTATGGCTTGGACTCTGAAAATTTATGACGGCAATAGGACTTTAACCCTGGAATGCTGGCCAGCAAGACTAAAATGAAGTGTATTGAAAGGAAATGTTCGTTTAGATCAAAGAGAACAGTACCATTTTTATGAATAGCAATCCTGGAAATAGAAATTTGTCTGTTCTCAAAAGGCACTTTGATGTTCCCTGGAATAATGCATTCTAATTTACCATTGAAGCAATATCTTCAACTCAGAACTAAATTACATGTGTCCTAGAAAATCTAAAAATGGCATTTGTTATGCCTTTGGATATGAATTATTGGAAACAAAATGGAGAAAACCATTTCCCCAATCCTATCCCCTATATCATATTTTGAATTTTCTTCTCTCTACTTCAGGGGTGTCAAACTGCTTGGCCTGCGGCCTGGACGCGTCATTGGGAAACCATGCCCACCCCATTGCTGGCAATGGCGAAAAAGTTCCAATACGTTGCGCGACGTCACGTGACCTCACGAGTTTGACATGTCTGCTCTACTTAATCAATGTGGAATACATGATTGTGGACTAGAAAGGGGTTTGGCTTGAGTAATGCTGGATCAAACCAGAGGCTTTTCAACTTCAGTAGGCAGCTTTACTTGGAACAGCTTACATTCTGTGACAATACCCCTAACACCATAATACATCAACATCTGCCTATCCCAGGTCCTTGGGAAGGACTTGATAAAAATGGATGGTGGATAAAAATGTCAGATCTAGTCTGAACATCTGGCTGACTGTGCGATGAACCATAATACAGCTAGTCATTGACTTGCAACCATTTGTTTAATGATCAAAGTTACAATGGAGTTACAAAAGTGATTTATAAATGTTTTGCATGCTTACGATCATTGCAGCATCCCCATGATCATGTGATTAAAATTAGAATTCTTGGCAACTTATTCATATTTATCACATTGCATTGTCCTGGGGTCATTGATCCCTTTTGCAAACTTCTGACAAGCAAAGTCACTGGGGAGGTGACTTCACTTTACTAACTTAACAATTGCAGTGATTAACTTAACAATTGTGGCAAGAAAGGTTGTAAAATGGGGCAAAACTCACTTAACAACCGTCTTGCTGAGCAATAGAAATTTAGGGCTCAAATGTGATCGTAAGTCAAGGACTACCTGTAATCCTAAATTCTTGGGAAGAACTCAGTGCCAACACCATCTAAAAAATTGGCAGCTGTGACTTCACATTGTTGTGAACAAGTAATAAGGTGGTTTTACTTGGAACAACTTACATCCTGCTAGAAAACTTTTAATACCACCAAATAACATCTGCCTATCCCAGGTCCTTGGGAAAGACTTGATAGGTGGATAAAAATGCCAATCCAGTCTAAACATCTGGCTGATTATGTGACCAACCGTAATGATAAAATGCTTATGCTTTCTGACTCACAGCAACTCTGTGCAGTTATTAGAATTAAACAGAGATTGTACTCTGACTATAATTTGGTTCCAGGAAAGCTGCAAACAGGTGAAAACAGTTTTCTCTTAAAAATTAGGAGTAAGGGAATTTATTTAAATTGAATTAAATAAATAAATAAATAAATTAAATAAATAATAAAAACATTTAGGGCAAAAACATAGGAAGGACAAAGTATGTTTTGAAAGTTCTTAAAGAAATAATGCCACACAGTGCAAATATTTAAAAGAGTAATTTTTCATGACATTTATCAGTCATATGTCTTCTGCAATAATTCCCATTGCATTTATGAAGTTTAAAGAGAATTGGGCAAATGTATATGTAATACACTGGCTAATATTAATATGTCTTTTAGCATGTAGTAATGAAAGCTTAAGAAAAGAATAAAATATTTAAACACAATTACCTCAGATTTCAATAATTAACTAGAAAGACCTTTAATGAACTTAGTACCCAAGTGTGGAATTTGGAATCTGACTCTTACTACATCTAGATAAACACCATTGTGGCAGATAGAAGACTTCTTTGTAGCTTTCATTTCAATCAGAACAGTTCACTTCACAATTGCCTTACATTATTTCCAATATGATAATTTGTAGCTTATGTGAGCCAGCTATGGTTCTTCTTACTGTGCTTTTCCCATGCATCATTTCCACATATTCAGCATCAGTCAAAGGTAAGTTGCTTTAAACTTTTAACTTGCATTCATATATTTAAATCTTTGACTTGCATTAGCAGATGTGTATCTGCCTTTTAATGAGAGAAATGAAGGTACAATGTAGATTTTACTTATGTGGATCTTTTACATCTAGATCATTTTGAATTAATTGGGAGGTGGGGGAGATTTTGTTACATGGATTGCTTTATGAGCTATCTGTGGTTTGGAGCAAGTTAGGTCTTTCTTCTTAGGGAGACTGGATTTGTGCTTTAACACTGAAACTATTCACAGGAATCTAATTGAAAACAGGTTTAAGAAAACAGTTTTTCTAATCTGGGCCAGATCTTTTAAACCAATGGGAATTATTTCTGAACAGATTTCACTGCCAGTTATTGTGTAGTCATGACCAATAGTTGACACATATTTGCTTTTCGGGCATCAAATATTTGTTGGTTTTTCAAAGATTGGTTGAAGGGTGCCATTATCTAAATAAAGAACTTAATTCCCACTAGTATGCACTTTGTGTGAATTAACTATGTGTACATTTGCCTATGCACATTTAAACAATAATGTAAATACAATATATCTCATCAAAGTCATCACCTGCTATCCAGCAAACCTTTTCAATCTAGTCTTCTCCTGATTTCTCTTCTTATATTTTTTCATATTAGGCTGAACTAATTCAAAATTAGAATATAGTGCCAAGGCAATTTTTCATTAGAGATTTGTTTGATCTAAGGTATGACAACTATGTACAGCAACATAGTTGTTAAGCAAAGTGCACTGCACTATCGTCTTTAACTCTCCATGCTTTTAAGTATCTTGGAATGTCCTGTTAAAACAATGACAGATAATCTGCTTGTAAAATGTGAATGGTAAACCAGTAAACTGGCTAGATACTGGGCCTATCAATAAGAAAGAAAGGTAGCTAGTTAAATTTGGAAGGAAGGGGTAGGTCAAGCCCATCAGTCTACATGATTATAAGATAAATAACTACATAATGTAAGAGATTAAGATAGAAATTCTAGGTCTCAAGACCTAGAATGTCTTTATAAACAGAATATGTTTCTCTGACTTTGGAAGTAGGATATTTAGAAGCAATTAACTACAAATTTCCCAAGAGATTTAAGAATATATGCTATGGGCAGCCAATTTATAGGACTACTTCTGTTCAGTGATCAGATTGAAAATGAACTTGGATGATAATTTAAATAGCAGAATGGAAGAAATGATTAAATGTTTCATCCCAACTACTATATTACAATCTATATGACAAGAGGTGATGCAGCAGGTTATATTCCTGTCATGCCTCTGTCGGAGTCTGAATCTGCGGAAGAAAATGAGCTGGAATGGGACCCTATGGAGGTTGAGGGAGAGATGTCTGTGGTTTCAGAGGACTGTGGGGACTGTCCTCTGTGGTTTCAGAGGACTTCAGGAGTGGGACAGGAGGAACAGGAGAGACAGAGTTCAGGCAATGAGCAAGGGCCACCGCCACCTGATCCTAGAGCACAGAGAGTGGAGAGAAGGAGGGAACAACACAGGCAGGCTCAACTACTCGGGAGGGTAGTGTCCCGCCCCTCTCCACAAGGCACACCTGGAGACTGAGATTTAAGAAGACGCTGTGGGAAAAGGTATTTGTCGGGAACAAATGCTGATTCCTTGGAGTTTTGTGTGTGTGTTGTTGCTGATGTCTTATTCTGTGACTTCTGCTTGGAAACCCGGAAACGCTGACCATTGGACTGGCTGACAACGTTGCTTGGATGTTCAAAGATCTCGAACTGTATTTTGGCTTCCCTTTTGAAACTGCTTAGGCAAGCGTGTATTTACACAGACTCGTTGGGTTTATGATGTATGTGTCATTCCTTGTTATCAGACTCTCCTAATCAGACTATGTGAAACTACTTGCAGCCAGAGGCGGCTGAAGGTGTGTATGTCTTCCTGTGTTTGGAGGCTTGCCAGAAACATGGGAGCATTTGGGGAAAATTTGGAGCAATTAAAGGGCGGTTTGAATTGCCAGCTGTCTGCATTGCCTCTGTGCTGTGCCCTGGATCATCACATTTCCACTGAAATACAAATACAGAAGAAATCACCAGCAAGAAATCATTAGCTTACACTGTGCAGGGATCGTAGCAAGGAACTATATCCTTACAGTTTTATTTGGTAGAGATTTTCCACATTTTTTTTCAAAGTCACTTAACAAAAATATAATGGAATATCTTGCTGTACATTGGGCCACATTTTCAAGAAGTTTCAAAGACAAGATTTTTCATAATTACTGGGTATTACAATGAAACTCAATTTAAAAATCCAGAGCACTCTATATTTTTATTTTTATTTTTTATTTAATTACATTGTCATCTAATTAAATTTTAAGACTAATGATGTGAACAAGAAGGTATGTCATTAAGCACAATGGCTCTTTGCTTACTACACCCAGCAAGGAATAATAGGTGGAGTCTTGCAGATGATATAGTCCTCATTGACAAAGAGTTAGCTCCAGTCCATTAAAAGAGGTGATAAGGAAGGAATATTGAACTATGTTCTGAGCAAGGAGGTCAGGTAAGTTGGCTGCTAGCCAAGTGTGGGTACTCTCAGGTGAAATGCATTTTCTAGATCACCTTCAAATGGAGTTTGGCACTTGCTTGCAGGGAGAGAGATGAGAAAGTACCTTGACATCCTCATTGTCTTTTAAGAAACTTTTAGGTCCAAATGAAGATGCTGGCATAGTATGATTTCAGGGAACAAATGGAAATAGTGGGAAAATATATTTCGGAAGTTGAGTGCCCCATCTTTAAATTACAATATGTTTAGCTTACTTGCTTCAAGATGTGATCAGCAAGGCCTGCTGTGTGTGGTGTCCATCCTTTTCACTCAACTGAATGACAACTGAGCTTTCTGCCTGAGTCTTATAGTTCAGCCCTTTCAAAACCTTTCATAGTGTGAGGATTTACTGAAGAATTGCTTCTGGATACACGCGCCTACTCAAATGCTGGCATAATCTTCCATTGACCTTTTCTGAGTGTCCCTGTTGAGTGATAGCAAGGTGAGGGGCTCCCTGCTATGGATGTCCTCTCCAAAAACATCCTAATCATTTTTTAAAAATTTTCTTAAAGCCAATTTATCTTGGACCTTGTTTCAACTGTGTGCCTAGTTGTCTGTGTTTTAAACGTGGTTGCTTCTCTCTTATTTGTCTTCTGGAGTGGTTATTTTGATATAAGGTTGTATTTTTGGATGTGGTTGCATTTTAATGTCCTTTCATTGCAACATGTTTTTTTTTTATTCTATCCTACACATTTCTGGGCAAACGTATTTCAGTGAGTAGTTAGAAATCATCGGAATAATTTAAAAAATTAGGAGGGAAATGCAATTTTTATAATTTCACTGAGGAATGGCTAGTGGCTCCTGGAGGGGTGGCAAGTAAAAAAAAAATTAAGATGGTGTCCATGGCACATTGAAAAGGTTGGGGATTCATTCGTGCCCTCTTAACTGCCATATGCCCTTGGAAATGAATTATGTTCAGCCTGTACTAATAGACTAAATTCCTATTGAAGACAGTTTTGAAATGTGTTGCATTTCATTCATGCTAGTAAAAAAAAGGATTATGAATACACTGAAAACACTCCCACTTTTTTTTTTTGAGTTTCTGTTGGAGCCATTCATTGGTTACCGTGGGAGGAAAAAAGTAAGCTATCATATTCTAAGGAACGTATTCCTTAGTTTGCTGCCCCAGATGAAAAGTGTAGGATGGCCTTTTGTTTTTCCAAGAAGTACCTCATTGTCAGTGTGTTTTTCTTCAATTGGAGGCAGCCCAATTTAAACTTAAAGAGATACAGTACAAGCAGTGAGGCTGAAATAGAAGCCGGTGTCTGGAGAACAGATTGTCTAGTCACAGATTACCCCATAGTGATGAAATGCTATTATTGTGCTTTTAGATCTAGGATGGACCACTTTGGGTGGCTAAGATCTGCATCTTTAAGAAAAATAATGTCTCCGCTGAGTGGAACTAGTTGTGATAAGAGGTTTTCAATGCTTTATTTGGCTTTTCTGCTTTTAAGCAAAATGCAGGTAGTCCTCAACTTACAACAGTTCATTTAGTGACTGTTCAAAGTTACAATGGCACTGAAAAGAATGACAGGACCATTTTTCACAGTTACGATCTTTCCAGCATCCCCATGATCATGTGATCAAAATTCAGATAAATTCAGATGCTTGGCAACTGGTTCATATTTATGACGGTTGCAGTGTCCCAAGGTCATAAGATTGCCTTTTGCGACCTTCTGACAAGCAAAGTCAATGGGGAAGCCAAGTTCACTTAACAACCACGTTATCAACTGCAGTGATTCACTTAACAACGGAGGCAAGAAAGGTTGTAAAATGGGGCAAAATTAACAAATGTCTCACTTAACAACAAACATTTTGGGCTCAATTGTGGTCGTAAGTCAAGGGCTACCTGTAAAGTGCTTTCATTAGATGCACTGAAATATTCAATGATTTAACACACCTACTTTCTTTAGTTTTTGACCAAAAGTGGACAGGAAAGTATGTGAGATACACACATATATATTTCTGATATACTTTCCTGTATGTGTATTATATGTGTGTGTATGTGTGTATGTGTAATATAATATATATATATATATATATATATATATGTATATGTATATGTATATGTATATGTATATGTATATGTATATGTATATGTATATGTATATGTATATGTATATGTATATGTATATATAACAGAAATTACTAATATCCTATCCTGCTATTTATGGTAATTTGTACATTAGCCAAGGGGAAGTGCAGAAAAGCTAAAGGGCAAATAGCAGCTGGGAAAGTGGATTTTGAGTGGCAAACTGATGTGGGCTCTGATCCAAATGTGGGCTCTGATCTGGATTACAGCAGCAGATTGGGGTTCTAAACAGCCGCTTTGCTTTTTAAAGAACAGTAGCAGCGTTAAGCATTTTCAAAAATGTCATAAGTATAATGTTTAATGTTTAATTTAGCAATATGCAATTATATGGAAACGTGAAGAAGTCTCCAATTTTTTTCTATTAATCTGCATTGAAAGGTATTCCCTCAATTATATTTGTATTATCTCTGCAAATTGCAACCTTTGGACTATAGCAGGACTTAAAGTATGTCTCCATGGAAGATTTCTTAAAGACCCTGTGATCTGATAACGATAAATGCAGAACACTAAGTTAACCTGAGTATATAGATATCTAATGTTACCTTCATTCCATTTTAGTAATTTATTATAAAAGAATATGTTTGTGCATTCGAATGATCAGATAACTGGGCAAAAGTGAACCCAAATTTATCATGGCTACCTGGTGTTATAAGATGGAATGCTTTCTTTGACAATATTGTCATTATGTTGAATTTATAGTCTTAGTTTATTTCATATAAAAAGGCCTTCATCCTGCAGTGAATAGACGATGGTTAAAATGATGATGATATATACACAGTGTGTGTGTGTGTTAATTTAACGTTTTGAGTACATTTTAGTTATTGTAATGTGCTATACTACAGTATATGTTGATACTTTGCAACTTAGAATCACAACTAAAACAACACAGATGCTTTTAAAATAAAATGGACTTTGATTATCATATTTTGATTGCTTATATACGTAAAATATTTCTAAGTATTATACTTTTCAAATGGATTCAGTGAGATTACAGTATCTGTAATATTATAGCTTAATATTTTCTCCGAACTGCTTGCTGTTTTTTGGTATAAATAGTGAACTAATGCTGTAAGACACAGCAAGGGTAAACTTAGAGCCAGCTAATGGTTAAAACTGCATGTGTTGTCTATGCCAGGAGTACTAATAAAAGGTACAGTCTCTGACAGCTGTCTCAGCTCAAGCAGCATAGCTTTCTCTATTATACAGAACCATGGGTTAATTATAGAAAGTTGTAATGACAGACACTAAAATAGTTATTCAAGTTGCCATGTACTCATTTCTCTCTGCAACATGCTTAGATAACAGAGGCACTCTCTGCCTTACGTGAGAATCTCAACATACTGCATTAAAATGTACATTAGTAATATTTAGAGAAATCTACATTTATATGAATAAGCTCTGCAAATGTATCAGAAGGAGAATAATATTCAGTGGAAAGCAATGTAAATTAAAGTTGTGCAGATAAAAATAGATACATATTAATTAAACAGTCATGTATTAGCATTAAAACCATTATTTGTCACAGTTTATAATCTGGTAAAATACTGTATAGCAAATTTTTGTAAACTATTCTAAGTCAGTAGATCAGTCATAGCAAATTCTAAAAAAAGATAAATCAAATTAAAAATTAAACTAATAGGCTAAACATATTATTTTTTTTCTAACCCAATCTGTGTTGTTCCCTAGGATGTATTAAGTTTTTTTTCAGTTTGTGTTTTATTTATTATTTCTGTGATCTTAATGCATTGCCTCTGCCAAAATACCCAAGGTACTTTCAAATTTAGAATACTATCATATAATTTAATACATGGATAAGAAAATAAAAAAGCATGGGAACAGAGAGAAAAATAAGCACATTTAGATGTATGCATATATTTCTAACAAATGAAATACATTTGATCTTAGCCAAAAGGCTGGGAAGCTATTAAGAAGAGGCATCTTAATACAAACTTTCCAGGAAATGAGTGAAAAAATGAAGGTCAAATTGAATGGTAAACCCAGTTCAGGAATTCAGTTTAGTACTTTGCTGCTACACCATTCATCCTAATAGCCAACAATCTCAGCCAATAGTCTTACTAGGTCTAATAGTAGGGATGGCCTTGAAATTGATACAGGAGCATATTACTTCCCTTATAAACTCTGCCCTGCAAGTCATCTATTGAAAATTTTGTTCAAATAATAATATAAAAATATTATTTACAGCACATCAGGTTATTATAGAATGCTACCAGTGGGAAAGATTCCTTTCCTAAAGAGAGAAACAGAATGACCACGGGCAGGCAAACAATTAATGGGAGCAGGAACGACTTCTGACTTCTCAGCTTCCCCATTGAATTTCCTTGTAGGAAGCTGGCAATGGTTTCAGAAATCTTCCTTCCTTCCTTCCTTCCTTCCTTCCTTCCTTCCTTCCTTCCTTCCTTCCTTCCTTCCTTCCTTCCTTCCTTCCTTCCTTCCTTCCTTCCTTCCTTCCTTCTGAAGGGATTTTATTATGCTTAAGGTTGATATTAGTAATATTGATATTAGTAGTGATATTAACCTTACACTTCCTTCCTTCCTTCCTTCCTTCCTTCCTTCCTTCCTTCCTCAATTTTATATATATATATAATTTATTTTTATTTATATATTTTCCTATATGCTTTCCTATATAAGACTGTTCCTGTTTTTAATCCTGGAATGTTGGTTTGGGTATGCTACTCCAATACTCTTTCATTAAAGGCAACTATTTTTAAGTAGAGTTTAGTACAAATATGATTCACAAAAGTTTATGAAAAAGCATCTAGAAAGACCCTTAAGGTTCAGTATGAGAAACCTTGGTGGTGAATCTGATCAGAAATAAGTTTAAGAGTTGTCTTAAATCTCTCATATTTAAACCATGCTTTGGAGATAGGAATATACAGTAAAATATGGTGGGCTCCTTGTACTTTAGCTTATCACTGATGCAACACTTTCCACAATTATTTTTTTCTTCATATAGGCCACAATACAGGTCCTCGAATAAACAATGACAAATTATACAAATTTGCATATTCCACCCAAGTTCTTATTGACAGAGTGAAAGGTTTACCCCATGAGAGTGTGGGCTATCAAATTTCATCTGGAGTGGATGTCAACTTAGTATGGAGAAATCCCAATAATGACGATGACCAACTGATCAAAATTGTGGTAGGCAATTATTGTAACATGATGTTATCAAGGCATTTTCTGATGATTTGGGTAATGAAAGTTTAGTTAATGTAAGTCAAGGTGTAAAATGTGATTAAATTCTATTTATAGAAAATATAGGATGCATTTTAAAATTGAAGGCATTTAATATTACAATGTTTACTTAGAAAGTATAGACCACAATGTTCAATGGTACATGCTGGGATACAGGTTTCAACATAGGGAGCTATCAGGGTCAAAGTTAGCAACTTTAGCAAATTTACGCAAGAAAAACCAAATGCATAGGTACAATATAGGTGATACCTTGCTCAACAGTAGTAACTGTGAGAGGAATCTTGAAGTTCTAGTGGACAATCACTTAATTATGAGCCAGCAGTGTGCTGCAGCTGCCAAAAAAGCCAACACAGTGCTAGGCTGCATTAACAGAGGGATAGAATCAAGATCACGTGAAGTGTTAATACCACTTTACAATGCCTTAGAAAGGCCACACTTGGAATACTGCATCCAGTTTTGGCCACCATGATGTAAAAAAGATGTTGAGACTCTAGAAAGAATGCAGAGAAGAGCAACAAAGATGATTAGGAGACTGGAGGCTAAAACATGTAAAGAACGGTTGCTGGGATTGGGTGTGTCTAATTTAATGACAAGAAGGACTAGGGGTGACATGATAGCAGTGTTCCAATATCTCAGGGGTTGCCACAAAGAAGAGGGAGTCAAGCTATTCTCCAAAGCACATGAGGGCAGGACAAGAAGCAATGGATGGAAACTAATCAAGGAGAGAAGCAACCTAGAACTAAGAAATTTGCTGACAGTTAAAAGAATTAATCAGTGGAACAACTTGCCTCCAGAAGTTGTGAATGCTCCAACACTGGAAGTTTTTAAGAAAAGACTGGACAGCCATTTGTCTGAAATGGTATAGGGTTTCCTGCCCGAGCAGGGGGTTGGACTAGATGATCTTCAAGGTCCCTTCCAACTTTATTATTATTAGTAGTAGTAATCATAATTTACCTATTGGTTTTGAAAAGCCACTTTGAAGTATACATCCAGTACACAGATAAAATACAAATTATATTTTGAAAAATATATTTTCTAAGGAGAAAGTAAGTGTGAGGAAATATACTCCCACTGCAAATTAGTTGATTTTGTCCTATTTTATTTTATTGGGTTTTTTGCCTTTTCAGATTACAGATGTATCACTTGAAAATGTGAATGAGCGTCCTGTAGCAAAAGACATTTTTCAGCAAAAAAACACAGATAAACTATATGAAGAAGAGTATCTTGCTGCTTTAAAAAGGCCTATTTTTCTGCACTGGATTCGTGGAAAGGTAAGAGAATAAGTAGAAAGGTTTGTTTTAAAGGTTTTACTTATTGCCTGAGCAATAAGTATATATCTTACATGCTTTGAATTAGGGTCATAACATTTGTGAAAGGCTAAATAATATGTAGCCCTGTCACCATGTATTATATGGCCAGCACATGCTCAAAAACTGTCTTGTCAGTTCCATGCAAACAATAGCAGGAGAAGATTTAGTACATCTCTGATAGCTGATATGGCTGGGCAAAGATCCATATTCAAAGCATACACTGTGATTAACAACTTTCAATGGCATTGAGTGTCAGGGAGAGGGCAAAGAGCACAAAAAGGTTGCACAATCAAAGTTCAGTTCTTTTTTTCTGCATGCCATGACACATGTAGAAAAGGGTGGGGCTTCAGTTGAGTGTTAATGACCGCCATCCTTACTTTTTTGAGCCCCTCCCTCACCAGTGGTTGCCCTTGAAGACACGCATGTAGCAACTGTGGGGAACACTATACAACCAATGTGTCTTTTCCAGGATTGTGTATCAGTTGCAGCTGCTTTAAGGTGATCCTAACAAGTATTACATGCACACCCACATGTTCTCTGAATCACTTGAAATCCAGTTCTCGGTACAGCCCTAATAAAATGTACATGGCCAATATACTAAATGCCAGCATTAAAAACAAAAACAAAAAAACACTACATCATCATGACCACTTTGAGGATATTGTGCAAGTTATGGAGTGGACAAATTGGACTTTTGTCTTCACTCTCTGCCAGAGCAATCAAAATAAAATGTCAGGGTGGGCAGTGTTTTTGGGTGGAGAAGCTGCATTAGATCACATGAAACTATGCAAGGGTTTCATGAGTGGAACTAGCTTGTGGATAATCCATTCCCACATAGCCATTCATGTCTTGGATTCTCCATTCCAGTCTAATGCCAGGGAGAGTCAGAATACATCATAGAAAAGCAATTTCAATTGTGTGGGCTACACTAAACGCCCTGGACCTTTTTGTATTTAACAAAGAGCACAGGATCAAAGGCTGGTGAGCCCACTCTATATCAGATCCCATGCTATGATCCCACTGGTGAAAGCTTTATGATCTGAAGATGGAAAAATGGCATTTTGAAGGTGAATGAGAAGGACTTCAAATGATTCACCTACCTGGCTTGAAAATGTTTTGCCCATGATGGAAATAGAATACTTCTCTCAAAGGGATGCCAAAATGTATCAATGGAGTGCCATTAAGAGATAATGTGTTTATTGTAACCCTTATAAAGTGCAGAATGGAAGTTATAACTGCTCGAGTGCTAGTTGAAAGGACAAAGTCTTGTGGTTTAAATTCAGATGCAGCAGCCAGTGCAAAGATCACTCTGCATCTGACACGTCCCTGTGTTATTAATTTCACTACAGTTCATTTCTGACTGATTACATAGCTTAGATTAAGGGCCAAGCTATATGTTATCTCAACATTTCTGCTGGGGTGGCAAAAGAGGAGTTATTAGGAAAGGTGAACATAGTAAGTATCCTGCAGACTAATCAGTGTACATGACTATTATTATGGTCTGATAGAACTAACATTAGTAGTTTCCTCCTGCCATTCCAGAGACAGCCTTATTTATTTTCACTTTATTAGAGGAGGCAATCATTTGGGGACACTTTTTCCCGGTTTCTGAAAATACATGGTGGTACTAGGATTGGTCCCAGTGCATGACACTAACACCATCAGGATTATTGAGGAAGCATCTTGTGCAATCTCCATGGCAAAAATTGTATTAAAAGAAATAGTAAATACTACTTTAAGACTGCTATCATGAATACATCATCATCATCATTATCACTGCCATACACTGCTGGATGAAGGCTTAAAAATATTTATTTTACGCTTAGAGGGATATGAAAAAAAATCCATAAATTATTTAGATTATGAGTTTCCAAAAAACACATCATGCAAATTTAATATTCTCTCCATCTCTCCCAAAGATGCTTTTCCAAAAGGTTTCTTCATTTCTTCTTGGGTGAGAAGCAAAATGTTTTCAAGGAAAAAAAAACATGCAAGTCCAGTTGCCTTTTGGAAAAAGCATTTTTGGGATAAGCATGACCTGGATGATTGAGAATCTCCATAGACATCTCTCCATCTCTCCCAATATTTGATTGTGTTGTTGCCCAATTTCAACAAAGGATGAACTACAGGTATTTTAAAAAATAGGATAGAATGTAATTTTTAGCTACCAGTGATCTAGTCTGGTAGTGGTTCCCTGGGGTTTTGAGTAGCTAGGGTTTTACCTTCTCATCCTTTTTAAAATTGAAGATGCCAGGATCTCACTTTAGGATATGCAGATATGAGGAATTCTTGAAATTGATTTACAATAATCTGGAGGTCACCAAGTTGTGAAAAGTTGGATAAAGCCTTCTCCATTTAAAGTAAGTGTTCTATATCAGAGCTGGAAAAGGGTGCAGTAGCTCAGTGATTAAAGACGCTGGGCTTGTCAGCTGGAAACTGACAGCCCGTGTTCAAGACCTGAGTGCCGCATGAAGAGGTAAGCTCCCATTAGTTGCCCTGGTTTCTGCCAACCTAGCAATTCAATAACATGTAAGTAGATAAATAGGTACCACTTCAGTGGGAAGATAACAGTGTTCTGTGTGCCTTGGCATATAGTCTTGCTGGCCACATGACCTTGGAAGCATCTCCGGATAACATAGGATTCCTCTCTAAGAAATGGAGATGAGGACTGCCCCCCCAGAGTTGGATACCACTGGACAGGGGAAACCTTTACTAAAGCTGGATACTCACCCCAAGAAAATAAAAGAGTTATTTGCAAACAAAAATTACCTCATATATCCTTTTTTGTACTAAGTATTCTAAATCATTTGGCATTTTAAGTAGCCATCGGATGGTAATAGTATTTATTCAGGGCAGCTTGAGAAAAATGTATTGCATCTGATTCTGGGTCAAATATTTTGACATTAGGTTTAGGTTTTCACGACACTGCTGATTTTGCATGAATTATAAGTGTTATGATGTTTCTATTATTGAAATAAAGTGTTGCATAATAAGATCATTCTATGCTTGGAAATAAAGTATAATAGATTGTGTTTTGTCCTGCTGATTTGACACAGATTTCTGTTGTTGTACTGCTGCTTTTCATTGGACCTGCTTTGGGACATACCTGTGTAGAACAGAATACTGATTCAGCATCTAATATTAATAACTGTGAAAATAAATTAATGATAAATAATGACTAGAATTTCTGGAGGATAGTTTTCAAATTAAAATTTATTCTTATTACAAATTCTCTCTTTCTCTCTCCCTCCACCACACCTTCTAGATTAAAAATTTCTACTGCTATGAAGATGAACCTTCTATTATCAAGAATCTCAAGAGAGGCCTGGCTAGCTTGTTTCAAATACAGCTGAATTCTGGAGCTGCCAGTGAGGTACACTATTCTGTCGTGCATGCTAAATGTATTGATTTTAATAGGAGAATACTTAACGTATTAAATTGACTTAATTTAGGCACAGTAAGATTCCAAATTGACTCGGGTGGTATATCTCTTAATCAAACAACATAGAAAAATATAATAAAATTATAAAAATGAAGGAATAAAGAGAATAAATAACAGGAACAGATGGCATATTACTCTGGAAGAGGAGATATATCATTAAAATAGAAGAGAAATGGGGATATGGATTTTTGTAAAAAATTATACAGGCCTTTTCTAGGTATATGTTCACATTTGGGCAGAAATTAATGCAGAGAGTACTACCCTCTTACAATGTTGAGGACAAAGTTTTAAAGAGCAAAATATAATGCATATGTCTTATGCATGTTATATAAAAAGTTTGTTATTTAATTAACACACCACCATAACGAGAGAGATTTATAAACTCTGCTGAAGAACCAGCTCATTATTGCCCTCAAAGAAAGAGTTAAGGACAAGATCAAATGAAGTCACAATCATGAAGTGCTATGCTAACGGTATAAACATAAACACATTGCATTACATTCTATTACATTACATTAATGTTGGCCTGGGAATCAAATGGTGGGCTTCCATCCTAGAGGTGGCAATTAGATTGATGGCAAACTCCACCCACCCACCATCCTTGCACTCTCCTCTCCACCATTCATCTTTTTGGTTATCATACTGATGTATTCCCATTGTGTTCTTTTTCATTGTTTATTCTATTCTATTATTTTACTTCTGTTTACACTTTTTTCATTTTCTTCTTTTTTATTATTGTAAGCTGCCTAGAGTAGCCTAGAGTTTAACAAACAAACAAACAAATAAAAAAATAAAAAATGATTGCTACAAAAAATGAATGTATTTGCTGCACATGTATCCTATGTTGAAAACATTCAGTCAATTTGTGAAATGCTCATTCCTTTTTGCTAAGCCCTTTGTTTCAACATGTTTGCCACCGTCTCTCATCTTAGACTATTCTAAATTCACCTGAAGAAAACAGGGGGATCTAAGATAGGAATATAGTTTTGTTTGGTTCTACTCAACTATAATTTATATGATGAAACCATAGTTGACAAACCATGGCTTGTAGCGATGCAAATACAGCTAATAGTTGTTGCTTGATTTGTAGAGTTTCTACACAAATGTCAGTTGTAAATTAAACAGAACGTTCTGATTCACTTTAGTGTTTAAATAGGGCCTATTGATTGCTAGGTACCTGAAACAGCCCAATGTCAAAACATGTGTATTGATGTCATTGTGTCCAATGCCATTATAGTACATGTGACATCATTTGCCCTGCCTCTCTTCTTTGTGCAGACATCCTTGCTACAATCTATTTGGAAATCTAGACTAAAGGTTAGACTGACAGTATAACAATAAAAGACTTACAGAGAAAATTTGGACCTATTCCTGTCTCCTCTTTGATGTCAGAAAGAAACATGAATAGTCAAATCCTGAGCAAATATTTAGAGTTGTAGTGTTAGCATGAAGAATGTTGACACAAATTAGTCAGTTTTGTTTCTCATAAACAAGTTGTGTAGATCCACTCTGTGTGGTTTCTGAGCCATGGTTCATTGCATAGTATAGTATATGAACATAGCCAATTGTGGCTTAATCAACACATCATAATTAAGCAAATAATGCCTTAATGTAATAAGTGAACTAGGGTTTAGTTAATATTAAACACTTCTTTGAAATTATCCTACAGATTTTAAAAATGTAAACAGTATCACTCTAATGGGAGTTAGAACTATTGGGACTGCAGATCTTTCCTTCACCAGCTATAGTCTTAAAAAAAATTCCTTCACTGAGGTGAAATTTTCCTTGGGTAGAAACCCAGTTGGAATCTACATCTCTAAAATGGTCAGATATGGATGGCAATAAGATTTTGGACCCTTAAAACTGGCTTGCTCACTAAGGCTTTTAAATTGTATCTCTGCTACTGTGCTTTATTGCTTCAGTTGCATAGTTTTATTAGTGCGCTATTATTTTATAATATTTGTAATGAAAAGCAGAGACTATGTTTCATAAAAAAATTTTTTGACAGCAAGTCTTTGATAAACCAATATGTTTATTTCATCTGTTCTCTAGACTGATATCTGTGGAAAATGCAATGTAACTTATCAGGCTCGGCAGAATCAGATCACTAAAGTGAAAGCCTTGAACTCGTGCAATTTAGAACACCCAAGTGTCACCAACCACAATCAGGTACAGTAGGGTGCACAACTTTTCTACAACTTGGTTCATTCTTAGGTTTTAATCTTATGCTCCCAATCCTGAATTGCTTTCTTCAGCAAAACTATGGTCAGTTGGATACCTCCAAAACTATGACAATTAAAATTACATTTTTTGCATCAGACAAGAAAAAAAGTTTGAAAAATACTGAATAAAGAAAACATGAGTTTGGGGACAACGAAAGCTAGTTTTAAAAAAAGGTAAAGGAGTCCATGCAAATTTTGCTCCACTAATAATTGCCATATGAAAGCTAGTATGGCTCAATAAATATTTTTTCCAATTTCTTAATAATTTATTGATGTAAAAAATCCTATTAACTAGGGATTGTCATCCTAAACTGTGGCAATTTATTCTACTTGATTTGCTTTCTTTTATCATAAAACTATGGTTAATTGACCTGATTCCATGTTATAACTTAGAACAAGATAAATTAAAGTAATTTTATATCTGGCAAACAGTACTAGAAAAGGGGGTTGATGTAATTTGGAGAATTAGTTTCTGATTTTATGTATTTTTTTATTTATACAAAATCATTTTTCAGCTCTTTGAAGTGAAGAAAAAATCCATTTCAGCTGTAATTTATGTACTGGAGGACACATTTATTCAATCTGTGCGGGCTGAAGAAAATCATATTTTTAATTTGAAATCTCTGCAACTTATTGATATAAAAGTCATTTCAAAGTAAGGTGGTTTCTTTTATTTTTCAGAAAATTTCCACTGGTCAAATCCAATTAACAATGCTTTTAATCTTTACTTTTATTGATATCCCACATTATTGATATAATTTAAAGCAAGGGGAAAACATTTTGAAAACAATATATTTTTGTATATAATTTAAGAAGCTTAACACATTTATTATTGTTTTCATTGTTTTGTATTAATTGGATTTTCTACTACAGCAGTGCAAGGTGTTTCGAAGAAATGCTTTGCAAGCATATAAGCAAAGCATATCTTCTCAACTCATTAAAACAGCTGCATCACTGAAAATCTGCTTATCTGGAAATTTCTCCCTGATTGGGGCGAATGCATGTAGAGATAGCACTTTAGCCCAATCCACTCCTGCTGCTTTGAAAGCTAGGGACAACTTTCAAAGCAGCCAGACAAATTGTGCAAACGATGCAGCTGCTTTAATAATCTGAAGAGAGGTGCTTTGTCATTCTCAGTTGCAAGGCTCTTCGTCTCAATGCTTCACAAAGCCTAACTTTCTCCTGTTGTTCTCTTCTTTAGTTAAATATCAAAGTCTGTCAAATATAAACAAATGTTTTGTTTTTTATTTTTTAAAAAAATGCTGTAGCTATACATAATATCTGATTCCTCACTTGCATGAATTTTGCCACAAATAGATATCCTTTCTTATAAACATTACTTATATATAAGATTTCTTCCATTGCTACTGCTATGAATCAACACATATAGTCATTTTAAACTGTTTGTGTTAGAGGAGGCATGTTTGTTGAACTGCTTCCTTATATCTATACACAGGCAGAAACTAGAACTGAAGTCAACTGAAGCCGGTCCAAGAATGAAGGCTGGGAAGCAAGTTGCCAGCATTATAAAAACTCTGGATTCAAATTATGTGGCAATTTCTTTGATGGCAGAGCCTGTCTCTCATGAATGCAAAAGCTGTCCATCAGTAAGTAATAACAAAATACATAAAAAATATAAAAGTTCATGTACTATTGAAATGGCATTAGCTGAAAAGGTACAAGAAAGAATTTGAGTACTTGAGATTTCATTATTTGAGGAATATATTTACTGCTAGTTATACTTCTGAGCTTAATTCCAAGATTTTGAACTATATGTGAGCAGTTCTCAAGGCCTTATCCTATGGCATCCTATTCTTCTCCAGCAATTGAACAACTGAAAATTCTATTCTTATGTAGAATTTGGGACTATCCAAAAATGCTCTTTGGCGAAATGCTCAAATTCTAGCTTTGTTCTGACATAATGCACATAAAAACAGTGAAAAGATGCCCTGTTAAAGTACTTCTATTTTCTGTTTTCTTTTCCTGAATTTCCATTAGGGTGCTTCCTCTGAATGGCATGCCTAGAAGTGATTTCTGGTAACTCAGTGGAACAAGTCATTTTCAGAGCTTCCCACACAAAAACCTTTGGATGCCATATTTTCAGCATAGAACATGCTAATAATTATTGAACAAGTCATTAAAATGTTCTATGCTGAAAATATGGCATCTGAAGGTTTTTGTGTTAGAAGCCCTGAAAACTGCAAACCAATCACAAATCTATGATCCTGATCAACAGAGCCAAATAAATCTTATTGAAATCAAGATGGCATTAGCTGACATGGCTTTTCCATCAAGCGGGATTGGCCTAGGGGGGGATTTTATAGGGATTTTAAAGGGATTTTATAATTTTTCTAATACAGGTTAATTAATATATATTTTAATTTGGCTTTTAAATATTTATTGTATAGCTCTGTTTTATTTACCTGTAAGCCGCCCTGAGTCCCTCGGGAGAAGGGCGGGGTATAAATTAAAGTAATAAATAAATAAATAAATAAATAAGATAAAGATAATCCAGGAGTTAAAACAGATTGAGATTAAAAAGCAAAGCATGCTTTTTTTTAGAGAAAGTCAGGCTTTCACTTGAAGCTAGTATGGGGAGCAAAGGCAAAATCCATAGAATAGGCATCTGTAAAATGGGCAAAGCTGTGAGGATATGCACAGCTTATTAAGCCACACAGTCTTGCCCATTTTACAGATGCCTATTCTATGGTTTTTGCCTTTGCTCTCTAAAGAGAAAAGACAAGGAGAGGAGCATCTCTTGCTGATAAATTAGAACGGGCAGAACACAAGAGAGAAAATATCTGCTAAACTCACAAACTCTTGAAATCTCAGTAATTGCTGATCAGAGTTGTTGCTATTATATAAAAATTAAGAAAGCCTGAAATCTTCACACTATTTCAAAACAAGGACAGGTAGTTTTTTTCAAAGAAAGTGTTGACAAGTGCAAAAAGTAGGCATGGCCAAGGTTAAAACTCCAAAATTCAATCTTTCCCACTCAAAGACATTCGTATTTAATTCTAATACATTCAAAGAACTATGCTTGATAAAACAACTGCAGCAAACCACATTTCACAGGTAACTGATATAGCTAAATTTCAGGCAAACATAAGCAAGTCATTTTTTGCTTTGGCAACAACTATACAGTATGTAGATTAGCTTTATTATTCTCATATTATTTATTTATTTATTTATTTATTTTATTAATTGAATTTTTACCCCGCCCTTCTCCTTGCGGACTCAGGGCGGCTGACAGCCTGATAAAAACAAATACAAAAAATACCCCAATACTATCGTTAAAAAACATAATTAAAATGAAATATTTAGATTTGGCCTTTGTTAATTTAAAATTGTTTTTAAAACCCCACTAAAAATTTCCCCTTAGGCCAGTCCTGCTAGTTGAAATAGCCATGTCTTAAGGGCGCGGCGGAAGGAAGGGAGATCCGGGATCACCCGGATCTCTGGGGGTAGTTCGTTCCAGAGGGTGGGAGCTCCCACCGAGAAGGCCCTCCCCCTGGGGGT